TAGATGGGGCACTGCTGCAGCCTGGCACCAGGGCTTGTGCTCCTGGCTATTGCTAGTCTGCATTTCAGTTATCCATGACTTAAAAGGAGCTCTCTGATCCCCAACCCTCTCCCATTTGCAGAGAACACAGATTTGTTAATAAAATAGCACAAAGATTTCAAAAATGATGGGATAGCTTGGCTAAACTCATCTTTCTCCAGATAACAATGAGGAAATCTGGACGAAATATAAAAGTGAACTCTCTGCAGGCATTGGTGAGTGCCTATAGCAAGCATAAACTAAAAGGAAACCTACTCTTGAGAGCTAAACTGTGATGAATGAGATCTGCAAGTTTATTGCTTTTTGCCTGAGAGAGCTTTCCAGTCTGGAAGAGGGCTCCAGGGGCAAAAATCTGCAGCCTTACTAGCTTAAAGGGTCAGAGGATACAATTTGGGATTGGCAGAGCAGCAAGAAGATTAGCAGAAAATCATGGAGACAGTAAGCCCCAAAATAAAACATTAATTTTTAAAAATAATTTATAGAAGCAAATTTCTAAAATTTATAAATTTGAAATTTACAAACTACTTAGAAATGAATTTAACAAAAGACCTGCACAATATATATGTGTTGAAAACAATAAAACATTACTAAAAGAAAATAAAGAAGACCTAAATAAATAGGGAGATATACCATGTTCATGTATTACGGGCATCAATGCTGTTAAGATGCCAATTCTGGCCAGGTGCAGTGGCTCATGCCTCTAATCCCAACACTTTGCGAAGCCAAGGTGGGAGGATCACTTGAGGTGCAAGAGTTCAAGTCCAGCCTGGTCAACATAGCATGACCCAAACTCTATAAAAATTTCAACATTAAAAGAAATGCCAATTCTCTCCCATTAAGCTATAGATTTAACACAGTCCCACTCATAATGCAGCAGACTTTTTAAAAAGAAAGTGGCCAGCTGATTCTAACATTTATGTAGACATGCAAAGACCTAGCCCAATAATCTGGGGGATGGAGAACAGCAGAAGATTTAACCCTATTTGACTTCAAGATCTCATGTAAAGCTACAGTAATGCAGACAGTGTGGTTGATATTGGTACAGTATAGACAAAGATCAATAGAAAAGAAATGAGAGTTCAGAAATAAACCTAGATGGCCAAATGATTTTTGACAAAAGCAATTCATTTGGGAAAGGAAAGTCAACAACCAGTGCTGAACAACCATAGATCTATATTTTTGAAAATGAATACCATATACAAAAATTCACGATAGATCACAAAACTAAAAATTAAAACTATGAAGCTTATAAAAGAAAACATAGAATATCTTCATGGCCTGGAGGCAGGCAAAGATTTCTTAGGATACAGAAAGCACTAACCATGAAAGAAAATTTTGACAAGTTAGATGCTGTCAGAAGACATAGATTAGGCAATGCAGAATAAGCACACTACAGACCTGGAAAAAATATTCATAAAATACATCATACAAAATACTTCTATCTAGAATGTATAAAAGTCTCCTACAACTCTCCTACAAATGAAAACACAACAGAAAAAATGGGGAAAAGATTCAAACAACCACTTTCCAAAGGAAGGTATATGAATGGCCTATAAACACATGAAAATATGTTCAGTATCATTAGTCATCAGAGAGATGCAAATTAAAAGCACAATGAGACACCACGCACCCACTGAGATGGCTAATATTAAAAAGACTGACAACACCAAATGTTAGTGAAGATGTGGTGTAACAGAAGTCTCATGACACAGGAGAAATATAAAATGGAATAATCCTGACAGCTGCTTATCAAGTCAGACATACATCTATCTTTGATCCAGTAATTCCTCTTCTGAGCATTTATCCACAGGAAATGACAATGTGTATTCACAAAAATACTTGTACATTAATGTTCATAGTAGTTTAATTCACAATAGCCAAAAATTAGAAATAGTCCAGGTGTCCAGAAGCAGAGGACTGAATCAACATATTGTGATTCATTTACAGAGCAGAATATTACCAATCAATAAATAGGAAAGAATTTCTGATATATGCAACAACATGATGGATCTCAGACATTATGCTGAGTGGAAAAAGACACAAAAAAATTGTATGCTAAATGATTTCATGTATATGATGTTCTAGAACAGGCGAAACCAATTGAAAGTGGTGGGGCTAGGGTAAGGTTGCCTGGAGAGGTGGGAGGGAGTGGGCCATGAGGGTGGACTGCGAAGGGATATGGGGGAGTTTTCTGGGGATCTGGAAAGTTCTATACCTTAATTGGTATGTGGGTTACACAGTTGTATTCATGTGTCAAAATTTTATAGCTACAATTTATGCATTTTAATATATATAAATTTTACATTTAAATAAGAACTGGAAACAAGTAATAATTGAGTCACAGTTGGGGAGTGAGTGGTGATATCGATGAAGCAAGAAGGCAGAAGGTTGGTAATTGTTGAGGCTGGGTGATGCGTACGTGGGGGTTTATTATACTCTTCTGTTTACTTTGTATATGTTTGAGATTTTTGATCATCAACAGCACAGGGGTTCTAGCCCTGAGGAAATTAGATATTAGCCAAGTAGGTTTCAGCTGGAGCAGGAGAGGACTATAAGTTCAAAAGCACCAGAGGTGGGGGCTCCAGGAGGGACTTGGGAGTGACGTGGGGGCTCTTAGTAATGCATTATTCAGGATGACAGTGGACAGAGCAGGGCAGAAGGTCAGGGACAGGAGATGGGTAGAGAGGATGACAAAATGGTTGACTTCACAGGCTGGCACTCCTCCCCCAACCAGATGTCCCTCTCACTGTAGGAGTGCCACTGATCCCAGTCTTCATCCCCTCCAGGGCCTCAATTCTGATTCCTGCACTGGTTAGTTAAAACTGTTCACAAGTGCATTCTGTGCCTCCGTTTCCCCATCTATCTCACAGAGCAGTCATCACCCTCTGTGACGGGCATTTTCTTTCCTAAAGGGGAAGGGATTTTTCAGGCTGAGGGTCTTCTAGTTTCACAACTCCCTGGAGTCCAGAAGGGCTAGCAAGAGGCAGCTGGCCCGAGACACATGGGTGTCCAGCCAAGCAAATAACTGGACATTCCTTCAAACCAGGATTATCTAAATATTAGCATGACATTTTCCTAGTGGAGAGAGAAATAAATTTATTTCCTTCTGAGAAATATAATATGCCTCCTTTTCATTCCAATTAAGGAACTGATTATAGTTGATTTACCAAATTAGAAACTGTCTTGGGAGGCATGTTAAGAAAATGTAAAATCTAATCAAGTGTTCCTCCTCTTTTTGGTCTGACAGCAACCTATTATGCATTATTCAGTCTTTAGGCTGATGTAGGCTTGGTGGCATGCACATTGCAGACATATCCAACAGAGATAGGTCAGTACTTCAGGTTTTTAAATTTATATCCCATAGGACTCTCAGCTCTGTCAGGAGTGAGTTCAATTCACCAACAATATGTGGAACTACGTGAGAAACTTGAGTTAAAATGGCACCAAAGTTCAGGCGCGGTGGCTCATGCCTGGAATCCCAGCACTTTGGGAGGCCGAGGTGGGCAGATCACTTGAGGTCAGAAGTTTGAGACCAGCCTGACCAACATGATAAAACCTCATCTCTACTAAAAATACAAAAATTATCGGCCAGGCGCAGTGGCTCAAGGGCCGGGTGCAGTGGCTCAAGCCTGTAATTCCAGCACTTTGGGAGGCTGAGACGGGTGGATCACGAGGTCAGGAGATCGAGACCATCCTGGCTAACACGGTGAAACCCCGTCTCTACTAAAAAATACAAAAAACTAGCCGGGCGAGGTGGCGGGCACCTGTAGTCCCAGCTACTCGGGAGGCTGAGGCAGGAGAATGGCGTGAACCCGGGAGGCGGAGCTTGCAGTGAGCTGAGATCCAGCCACTGCACTCCAGCCTGGGCAACAGAGCAAGACTCCGTCTCAAAAAAAAAAAAAAAATTATCCAGGCGTGGTGGTGCATACCTGTAGTCCCAGCTACTCAGGAGGATGAGGCAGGAGAATGGCTTGAACCTGGGAGGCGGAGGTTGCAGTGAGCCGAGATCGCATCACTGCACTCCAGCCTGGGTGACAGAGCGAGACTCCATCTCAAGAAAAAAAAAAATGGCACCAAAGTGATTTCAGAACTAGGCAGGGCCTTACAGATGGACTTCCAGGCAGCTGCCCAGTTGGCCCACCTGTTAATCCATATCTGGCTCTAGGCCAGGAAGCTGTGGCATCAGGCTGGGAGACAGGCAGTCTATTAACCTCTGGTTAACAAGAAAGCAGGAACAAGAGGGCACCGGTTTCTTGCCAGCACTCATTTCTTGTGTCCCTGCTCATGTGGGGATTGTGGCACTTAATCCTTCCAAGTGAATCTTGTCCTTATCTTGTCCAGCCTCACCACTCCATGAATCGGCTTGGCCTAGAAGAAATCCTCAGATTCTAGTGTCCCAGGATTCCAAATCCTAGTTTAATTACGTGGATTGTGGGACCTCTATTAGTTTCTCCATCAGCCACACGGGGATGGTAACACCTGCTGCCCTGTGTTGTGTGGATTCAATGAAATCATGTCTACAAAGGGCCTAGCAGTGCCTGGTATAGGAACTCAGTGATGCTGGCTGAATTGCAAGCCACTCAGAAGATGCTGTTCACATGGTGGATGCTATTATTAATTGGTAATTGGTAATTTTGGTAATTACTAATTGGTAATTATTAATTGGTTAGATTGTAATGAGGTGCAGAAGCAAATTTCTGGTATTCGTTGCCTCTCTGCATTTTCTCCTTCACTTCTGCTCTCTCAGTTCGTCTATCTCTGCCTCATTTCACCCATTTGTCAATTTATCAGCTAGAGCCCATTGTGTACAAATCTTCCCCTAAGTGCTAGAGAATGAGAGACAAATTGAACATGAAGACAGAATCCCACCCTAGAGAATCACGCTTTTCAGGTCTGTGTGAGAATTGTGGGAGCCCAAAGGAGGGCACCCCTGAGTCGAGCCTCTCTCTTCTCTTCTGCAGGAGATTATCACCTCCATCCTGCTGAGCGGACGGATTGGGCCCAACATCCAGCTGGCTGAGTGCTATGGGCTGAGGTTGAAGCACATGAAGTCCGATGAGATCCACTGGCTGCACCCGCAGATGACGGTGGGTGAGGTGCAGGACAAGTATGAGTGTCTGCACGTGGAAGCCGAGTGGAGGTAGGAGTGGACTCCTGGGCTCGAAAGTGGGGAGGAGAGGAATTTAGGGTGGGGAGGCCCTGGGAGTTCCTCCCTTAGAGCACTCCCCTGCCTCAGAAACTTCTAGCAAAACCTGAGTGGCATTCTAGGCTTAGTCTTCCTCCAGTATCAAATGCGTGTATTTTCCAAGACCTAACCTGGGCTTCATAGACTATCCCCATCCCAGAGCAGACACCTAAAGATAACCCTAAACAGGATGCTGACAGTGCTAGGGTAGAAGAGAGACAGAAGGGTGGGGCAGATGGAAAGCCCAGGTCCAGGGCTAGCCTATGAACCTAAGAGAAACAGCTGCCATGAAGGAGAAAGGTGGAGAGTCAGGGCTAGCTCTGACCACCTGCCAGTCACCTCCCCGTTTATGGTCCCCTGCCCAACCACGGAGGAGGGAAAGAGCAAAACCAGCCCTGAATGGGTGGCCACGAGACCCACAGGCAGCCCTTCCTTTTGCACTGGGGGATGGACTTGCTTCTGCCCTTGGGGTCTTACTCCTTTCTTCAGACACCAGCTTCTCTGTGTCAACCAGAGCCTGAATGTCCTGTTGCAGGTATGACCTTCAAATCCGCTACTTGCCGGAAGACTTCATGGAGAGCCTGAAGGAGGACAGGACCACGCTGCTTTATTTTTACCAACAGGTAAAAAGTACTTTATCTTCTTGCCCTGAGGCTCCCATTGCACCTTAAATGCCAAGCATGAACCATTCTGTCCTAGGGAGATGGAAAGACAAAGCCCAGATTATGGAGGGCCCAGGCTAGGAAGCTTCTCTTAAAGAAGGTCCTTGGTCTATGGTCAGCGGCTCCAACCCCGCTTCTCTCTCAGTATTTAAGCACTGGCTAAACTGCCCCGTGTGCTCCCAACTCCTCTTGGACTTTTCTGGTGGCCCAGGAGACCTGACTAGTGAAGCAGCAAGAGCAGGTCCAAGGTGAATCCTGCAGTGCTTACTACACAGCTCTGCAGTCTGTTGTCCACTAATCCAGCTCTGCCATTCACTAATCTGATAGCCCTGGGGGACCTCATTTACTTGCATGAAGCTGTTTCCTCTGCTATAAAATTATTATGGGGATCATAATAATAACACCTACTTTATAGGGTTGTTGTAGGAACCAGATGATATCATTGGCTGCTAAATTGACTCTCCAAAGAAAAATTCCGTTATGTGTAGCACTTGCCTATTTATTTGTTTATTTATTTACTTACTTATTTCAATGGGTTTTTGGAGGGAACGGGTGGTGTTGGTTACATGAACAATTTCTTTAGTGGTGATTTCTGAGATGTTGGTGCACCCATCACCCAAGCAGTGTACATTGTACCCAGTGTGTAGTCTTTTATCCCTCACTCCTCTCTCACCCTTTCCCCTGAGTCCCCAAAGTCCGTTGTATCATTCTTATGCCTTTGCATCATCATGGTTAGCTCCCACTTATGAGTGAGAACATACAATGTTGGTTTTCCATTCTGAAGTTACTTCACTTAGAATAATGGTCTCCAACTCCATCCAGGTTGCTGCAAATGCCGTTATTTCATTCATTTTTATGGCACTTGACAGTTTCTATGGTGTAAATACCACCCACATACTTGGCCTGTTTGAAGCTACCAGTAGGATACCTACTTGCTCACAAAACTTCTGAAAACTTAATAACCGGCTCTCAGGAGCTGTTTTGAGCATCTCAGACTTCCCGGACAGAATGCATATGCAGAGCGAAGCCCAGCACCAGGTGCAGAACAAAGCACAGCATCAACATGAGTGGCCATTGTTGTTTTCTGTCTGGTCCTAGGTCCCTCCAAGATCTCCCTCCTGGTTTGCCAGAGACTGAGCTAGATTTTTCTTGGCCTGTTAATGACATTTATCACTACTTACCAACAGGCCTTTGGATAAATTACTGACTCCTTGCAAAATCTCAGTTTCCTTCTATCCAAAATGGTGGGCAGGGGAGGGAAATCTGAACTTCTTGCCTATGGAGCAGGGAGAGAATGCCTGTAAAAGCATCTCAAAAACCTCACAGCCTCGGCCTGTGGAGGCACAGGCACCTCTTCCCCGTGTGCTCTCCATCCCTGCTCCATGCTTGTTTGTAGTCGGGTGGGTGGCTGTCGCTCAGGGAGGCAGAATGAGGCCCTTCCTCTTCTGAGGCCTCTGTCGTGGGAAGTCGGGGGTGAGGGTGCAAGTCTAATGCTTGACCTTTCTCCCCACCAGCTCCGGAACGACTATATGCAGCGCTACGCCAGCAAGGTCAGCGAGGGCATGGCCCTGCAGCTGGGCTGCCTGGAGCTCAGGTATGTGGCCTTGAGGTCTCTGCTGGGAGGGCACTGTGCTGAGCTCTGGGCCGGCCCGGCCTTTCCCCATGTCCAAGATGGGAAGCAGGACTGAGTGTGTGGGAGCCAGGAAGGGGAGAGGTGGTGACCAGCAGCAGGTGAGGCTCTGAGGGGCTGGGTGTTGGGTCCTCGGGATGGTAGGGGTAGGGGGACCAGCCCCCTCCCTAGTCTCACTCTCCTGGCTTCCGTTGCTACCACTGCTCTTGCCTGCAGGCTGCTGGCTTCTTCCATCTGTCAACCACCTCTCCTGCTGTTCAAGCGATTCAGCAAATGTTTCTTGAGCACCAGACTAGGATTTGGAGGACATTTGAGCCTAGAGATGTCTATCTGTGTTGTCCATTGCTGTATCCCCATCTCCAGTAGGCAGTTAATCAATATGTGTGAAATTAGTACATCATCCAGAGAGGCCCTCACGCTTCCATGTTGGGGAGGTGACAGATGTGTATACAATTAATCACAATACAAGGCAGAACGAGGATGGCACCAACTTCCATGTGGGAGCCATCCATCCCGCCTGAGAGCACCAGCAAGAGGGTATCTGAATTGCTCCTGAAAGGAGGAGAAAGATTTCAATCAGCAGAGAACAAGGGTCAGGGGAGATACACTCCAGGGATCAGTGGAAGGAAAAGCATAGACTGGCAAATCGTGAGTTTGGAGGGGTAAGTTGGGGCTGATGGTGGAAGACACCATCCGGACAATGGCAGTCCAATGTTATCATTAGAATGATATTGTTAGAATGGCACAATTAGAATGACAGTCTAAAAAATTAGGCCTTATTCTTGGCTGCCAGGGGGTCATTGCCATTTGGGACTGAGGAGGGTGATGTGACTGACCTGTGCTCTAGCCCTGTCTTGACCAGGGCAGCGCCATTGAGTTTCACCATCCCCCACCTTTTCACCTTCTCCTTCCCTTCTCTCTACCCCTTCTCTGTCTTAGAGCAGTGGTTTTAACATCTGCTTGCAAATCATAATCACCTGGGAGCTTAATAAACTGGAGGCATCCTGGCCCTACCCTTGGGAGATTTGATTTGGCAGGCCTGGGTGGGACCTTGTCGTAGGCATTTTCGACCAGCCCCCTAGGTGACTTGAATACCATTAGTCATATGGGTTGATGGAAGGACTTTCAGGATGACTGCCAGGGAAATCACTGGCCAAGGATTACTTCCTGTTTTCTAGAACTGCATTTCCGGAGCCTTATCTGTGACCTCATGGTTAATAGAGAGTAGAACTCTGCTGCCACTTCTACAGAACGGGGGTCACTGGGGAGTTTTGGCTCCGTTGTTAGTCTCAGTCAAAGAGAATGCTCTGGGGTCCTCTGGTGGGGGCAGTGGGGTGGCAAAGGGAGAGTCCCACTTTGATTTCAGCATCTGAGGCTGTTGGCATTAGTGACAGAATAGGTCAAGGGCAGCTTCGAGGGCTTCACATTTGGTGACTTTGTCTCAAGAAGCAAGGGAGCATTTGAGTCTTCTGCACAGAGGAGGCCTGCCATCCCTGCAGCTGCTTAGAAGGCATCCTAGCTCGCTGCCATTAATAATAATCTTGGGAGCTCAGTGCTGGCAGACCAGGGACAGTCTGCAAAGTTTATTTTATTATCTATGCCTTTTATCCCTTCTCAGACTTCTTGGCTCCTGTGACCTGCATTACATCCTCCTAAACAGTCTCATCTTCCCCTATAAAATTAGAAAAGTCGAAAAAGCTTATCTTTACCTTTTTATTTATGGATCTAGTGTCACTTTGAGACAGGATGCTAGTGTCACTTTGAGACATCTATCACTTGTCACCTGTCAAGCAGTCATCACTTAGTTGTAAAACAGCATCACGAAGACCCATTAACATTCTATCTTACTTTATTATATCCTCCAATCATCCCCAGACTATTACTGGTGGTGGCCTAAGCTCCAGGCACTGCACTGATGTTTTGGAGGACAGGGCGAGGCATCCGACATGACACCTGTAGGTAGTATTGTCAAGAGTGTGACTGCTGATATCTGCTAGAACCAGTGCAGGATGATTCTAAAAGCCATGCTTGTTTTGTGCAAGAGACGTATTGTTTCACATCTCCTGAGTGTGAGGAACAGAGTCGGAGAGATGTTCCTATTCTTACTGGTTGACCATTGAAATGTGGGGTATATGATATTAGGGAGAGAATATGGAAAACACCTATTTTGTAAACCGAATAGAAGATTTGCAGGTCTAATAATTTTTAAAGTTGAATGCAGTTATTTGTTATGATGAGCCATTTTAAAGTCAAGTTAGAACTATTTCTCACCCAGAGAGAATTGGACACATTTCAGAAAATCAGGCCATTAGGCAGAATTTTCTACGGCTGTGGCTCTTGCCTAAAATTGTCCCAGAGTGTGGGGCTACCTACAAATCATGGGCAATAATCCCATGTCCTATTAACATCATTGATTATGCCACCTGCCTATAGATATACAGCATCTCCAGGAAAAAAAAAATTGTATTATTTCAGCTTATAAAAGAGGTATGATGTATGCCTGGATACGAGATTAGTGAAATGAATCCTCCATGGAGTCCTGTGTTTCCTGAGTTATTCTGGGCAAGTTGATTACCCTCTTTCTGCCTGGATTCCTTCATCTGTGAAATAGGAATGATAATAGTAACATTATAGTAACATTGTGTTACTATAAAACATGTTATGTTATCATATAACATTTGTTATACTATATAACATAGAACAATGTTATGTTACTATATAACATATGTGTTGCTATGTAACACATATATGCTACTATATAACATATATGCTACTATATAATATGTATGTTATGTTACTATTGTATAGTATTGCATAGTATACTATAGTATAGTATTGTATAGTATTGCATACTATACAATAGTAACATAACAAACCTGCAAGGTTGTTATGAATAATAAATGAGTTAATGTATTTAAAGTAATTAGAGCAATGGCAGGGACCAAAGTATTCAATAATTATTTATTTTATTTTACTTACTTTTTTCTCTTTACCCTTCTTTCATTTATTTATTTTGAATAGGCTTTATTCTTTAGAGAAGTTACAGGTTCACATCAAAATTGAGCAGAAGGTACAGAGTTCCTATATACCCTCTTCCCCACACATGCACAGCCTCCCCTACTATCGACATTCTCCATCAGAGTTCCCCACCAAAGTGGTGCATTTGTTACAATTGATGAGCCTACATTGACACATCATTATTACCTAAAACCTGTAGTTTACATTAGGGTTCACTCTTGGTATTGTATGTTCTATGGGTTGGCTAAATGAATAATGACCTATAGCCACCATTATAGTATTGCACAGAGTAGTTTCACTGCCCTGAAATTTCTCCATACTCCACCTGTCCATCCCTCCTTCCCTCTAACCCTGGCAACCGTTGATCATTTTATCGTTGCCATAATTTTGCCTTTTCCAGAATCTCATATAGCGGGAATGATGCCTAGTTAATTTTATTCATTTATTGGAGGTGCTTTATAAATGCCAAATGTTTGATCTAAATAATGCCTCTAAATGAAAGTTTGAAATTCAGGGCCTCTATGCTAGAAATCAGTACCTGCCCAGTTTGAGGAACCAAATAACTTCTCCCCCTTGACCTGAGATACCTAGGACTATTGTCCACCCCCAGCAGAGCCCTAAAACAACAACAACAACAACAACACCACAGAGTGAATGTTTAACCCCAGATTAATTAAGTAACTGATAATAAATAAAGATTAGAGAAACAACAGACAGCTTGCTTTGCATCAAAAGGTATCTTGGTTTGTAGTTAATTTCTATTGATGTTTAGAAGAAAAAAAGAAACCAACTGGATTTGATTTGGTTGCTTCCTTATTTTCTGCTGTCCTTACCGGGGTATCAGTCATAGGCCTGTATCTGATTATAGACCCCACCGCTGTCCACCTGTTGTTAGCTACTCAAAATTGCAGTCTTGAGCTGGAAGGACCAGTCAGGCACTAGAGGGCACTCCAGGTAGGCACGGCCTCACTGAGTGATGGCAGTTCAGGCATATTGGGGAGACCTGGGTGCCCCTGGAGAGCAGCTGAGATGGGACTCAGCACAGAAGATTGGGAAGCTACCTTGCTGGGGAGAGCAGCGTCTCCCTTGAGTGATGGTTACTAGTTCTCCCAGACGTTCCCAAGATGTTCAGTTGCTACAAATGTTAGAAACACCCAGATTGTGGCACATCTGAGTGATTGGACACTTTTGTCGATGGTGACTATGTAAATGATCTTCTATGCCTGAGAGAAGGGCCATCTGGGACACAGGGAGTGGGCTAAGCAAGCTGGATTCAGGAGTTTGGGGCGACCTCGATGTGCTAGCTGAGCTTCCTTTATCCTAATAAAACATTTTTCCATTCACTAACACCTTGATCATGCTAAAATGTTGGGGGTTTTTTGTGCCTTAATTGCTCAGTGTTAATTTCAAAATGTGTTTACCCTTTCATTTAGCTAACTCTGTTTTTAAAAATGTAATATTTAAATATCCCAGCCTTCCAAATTCTTTCTTCACAAGTCTCAAAGTTCATTTATTCATTCAACAACAGATCGTAAGCCTGGAGTGGCTTTAGGAAACCACTCTCCTTTGTGGCTGGGAAGCAGATCTCACCCCATGGGTGGGCAATGCATCCCTCCTGCCTGGCACAGTCTTCTCATTTCCCTTTCCAGCCTAGTAAACTCTTCTATCTTCTGGCACCTTTAGAAAATGTACTGAGCCCATGTTACCTGCCTGTCCTCTACATACACAGGAAACCTCAGCGTGAGCCTATGAGGTGTCAATTACAAGCAGTGTGACCATCTGCTCTTCTCATCAAGCCAGCCTAAGGGTCTCTTCATCTTGAAGCCTTTTCTGCCCCATCCTGACCTCCTCCATCCTCCTTTGCAATACCACTGTACTTGCGCAGAGCTCTGTGAGGCAATGACATGTCCCCGTGTACCAGATTGTGAAATTCTGTCAAATCCTTAGAGTCAGAATGGGTGCTGCCTTTGCCTGGCACATAAGAACTCAATACATAGTTGAATAAATGGATAACTCTGAAAGAACTGAAATCTTCTTCCTCAGTGGACCTTTGCCAACATTTATTCTGTTAGAATTAAATAGCTGTGTACAGCAAGCCAATGTGTTCAGTTACCTAGGTGTATATTTTATGGCTCACTCAACCCAGGGGAACTACAGATGACCAAGCTACCTATAATCACCCTGAGGTTTCTTATTACTGTGGAGGTCGAGCAGGTAACACTGGCTTGAAACGTTTTCTAAAGCTGCCATGGTCAATCGTATGGAATTTGGGGATCTTAACTGCAGGCACTCTTCAAGTGGGAGGCGGAAGAGGAGGAGGAGCTTCCATCCAGGGGAGAATCCTGGGTAGGCTTCTCATGTCCTATACCTCAGAGGCCCCCAACCTTTTGGGCACCAGGGACCAGTTTTGTGGAAGACAGTTTTTCCATGGACTGGGGTTGGGGTGGGGGATGGTTTCGGGATGATTCAAGCACATTATATTTATTGTGTACTTTATTTCTATTATTATTACATTGTAATATATAATAAAATAAATGTACAACTCACCATAATGTAGAATCAGTGCGAGCCCTAAGCTTGTTTTCCTGCAACTAAATGGTCCATCTGGATGTGATAGGAGGCAGTGACAGATCACTGAGCATTAGATTCTCATAAGGAGCGTGAAACCCAGATCCCTTTCATACACAGTTCACAATAGGGTTCACACTCCTATGAGAATCTAATGTCGCCACTGATCTGACAGGAGATGGAACTCAGGCAATATAGCAAGTGATGGGGGACAGCTGTAAATACAGATGAAACGTCGGTCACTCACCCACTGCTCACATCCTGCTCTGCGGCCAGCTTCCTAACAGGCCACAGACCAGTACCGGTCCATGGCCTGGGGGCTGGGGACCTTCGCTACATCTGAATGTCATTCCTATCTGCCAGTTCTTCTGGTTTCCAATTCTGCACATCTGCCCTTAGCAAGAACATCCCATCTCAGGCACCATTGCTTACCTCCCTCTGTCAGATACCCAGTACAGAGAAGTAAGGGTAGGGAAGGACCCATCTTCTTAGTTTTCTAAGGTCTTTTCTTGGATCAAATTCCCAGGGTTTTCTAGCCTCACTACTAGTGACATTTGGGGCTGGATGCTTCTTTGTTAGGGGGTGTTGGGGGTTGGCTTCCTGTGCATTGAAGGATGTTTAGCAGTATCCCTGGTCTCTACCCACTTGAGGCTGGTAGCACTACCAGCCCCCTACTCCAACTAGGTATGATAACCAGAACTATCTCCAGACATTGCCCAGTGTCTCAGGCTAGGGCACAGAGTGCAAAATTGGGACCATATTTCTTAAGAGGTAACTACTTATTTTGCTTGACAATATATTCAAAGACACCATTTATTAAAAATTGTTAAGGATATAGCATTTTATATTTTACATTTTTATTGGGTATTTCCTCTATGATTTCATGCCATGAGTGTCTTCTTTTCCATTTTTTTGAGACAGAGTTTCACTCCCATGCTGGAGTGCAATGGCGCAATCTTGGCTCACTGCAACCTCCGCCTCCTGGGTTCAAGTGATTCTCCTGCAGCCTCCCGAGTAGCTAGGACTACAGGCATGCGCCACCACGCCCAGCTAATTTTTGTGTTTTTAGTAGAGAAAAGGTTTCACCATGTTGGCCAGGATGGTCTCAATCTCTTGACCTTGTGATCCGCCTGCCTTGGCCTCCTTAAGTGCTGGGATTACAGTTGTGAGCCACCACGCCTGACCTAACCTTACTATTTTCTAAACACAGTGAACTGTCTAAAAGGCATTGCTTTTGAATCATGTTACTTCCCTCACTCTGCTTATAGTATTAGTTGCACAAAAGTTTTACCAGATATTTATAAAGATGGCTGAATTAAAGGAACACTGAATGACTTTAATATAAGATCAGGAGTAGGATAATGTCTGCAGCAGTCAATGAAATTACTAGACACAGTGACCCAGACAGGGAAGGGAGGCTGGCACATGTGAGGACATTAGCTATTTGGTCTCAGCTTAAGCCACAATTACATAAAAGTATTTATCAAAGCATACATTTTTAGGGGAAATGAGACTTAAAGAATATGAGTAAAGTATAATAGCTGTCTCCTCTGGTTAGACTATGAATAATTTTATTTTCTTCTTCTATAAGTCCTCAAGTTTGTATATATACAGTGCTACATTTAGCAAGTATCTAAATGAACACACAAACATACACACATATAATATCTCAGAGATAGCAAATAAGTGAAAAGGAAATCACAAGAGTCCCCCAGGACCTGCAGGTGAAGGTCGGTGTTCCTAGGCTGATCATTCAAGCCTTGGCTGCCTTGGGCCTTTGTTCTGAGAGGCCACAGATGGAGCCACCATCTTCCTCCTCAGCCCAGTATCTGCCCATTCCTAGCGTGAGTTTCCTAGGATCCAAGGCTGGAGTCTTTTCTTGGAATGAAATTTGTGGGGGTTTCCTTTTCCTCACAGGTCAAAATACTAAATTTTATGACTTTCCTAACTTCCTTTCTCCTGGTGATTCCCATATATGGCAGGGGAAGGGGGCTTCTAGTGGCCTGAGGTGCCCTGGGTCTGACTCCCTCATTCTCCAGCCTTCAGCCCCCCCTCCACCACCTCTTTCTCCAGGCGGTTCTTCAAGGATATGCCCCACAATGCCCTTGACAAGAAGTCCAACTTCGAGCTCCTAGAGTAAGTTCTGGGGTCGCCCACCTCCCCTCCCTTCCTGTCCTTCCATGCGTACTTTTCCTCCTCACCCTCTCCTCCACCCCTCCCCAGACCAGAGCCCCACAGGGCCCGTCTCCAGGTCCCAAAGCCGTCTCACCTCTTCCTGATTGGCCCGCAGTCCTGGGATGGGGGTCAGGGGGAGTCACATGCTGCCTTTTTCTTCCTTTTTGCAGAAAGGAAGTGGGGCTGGACTTGTTTTTCCCAAAGCAGATGCAGGAGAACTTAAAGGTGAGGAAACCAATGGGCGAGGACCTCTTTGTGCTGATTCCCAACACTAGAGTGGAAGGGATGAGACTGGGGATACTCAGAGAAGCCAGGGCATCTGCATGGCCTTGGGCATTTGGACACAGGACTATTAAATGCACCCAGGGGTCCTCTCTGGGGCTGGGGATCCAACTGTGACATGCCTGGGCTCCCGCTCCGCATCCAGGCCTGATCAGCTCTCTGGCCCCAGTACTGGGAAGCTACCCCTTGCCCCCTCCACTGCCTTCATAGGGGTATGGGGAGTCTCCCTTGAGACAATGGGTGTGTGTTTTAGGTCATAGATCACAGCTGCTTTGGGGGCAAAGGCGCTGGGGATCATTTTCGAGCAGCGGGCAGTCTCTCAGACCCTAAGGGAAGGAGTGAGACCTGGGAGGAGCTGGCCTTGCTCACACTGCCCATCCCCTCCCCCAGCCCAAACAGTTCCGGAAGATGATCCAGCAGACCTTCCAGCAGTACGCCTCGCTCAGGGAGGAGGAGTGCGTCATGAAGTTCTTCAACACTCTCGCGGGCTTCGCCAACATCGACCAGGAGACCTACCGCTGTGAACTCATTGTAATGGCAGGCTCTCTTGAGCCTCTCCCTGACCTGGATCCCAGGCCTCTCGGGAAAGGGGGCCAGGAGGGGGCAGGGAGACGCTGCAGTTGCTGCAGATTCTCAGGCAGCAGAGCCTCGCTGACCTGCTGACAGTGGAAGTCATGAACATCCCCTTGCCTGAAGCAGGCACTGAAATTTTGGCCTCCAGCTCTGGGAGGTGGGCAGGACAGGAAAGGTGTCAGGAGGGGAAAATCCATATGGCCAGGGTTTCGGCAGGAAGGAGCTGGAGACCCAGGAAACGGTGGCCTGTGTCTAGCTTAGGGAGCTTTTCTTCAAGTTTCCGAAGAATGGGGAGGGCAGCTCTGGGACAACAGTCCCCTCTCCTTTTATTCCAGCAAGGATGGAACATTACTGTGGACCTGGTCATTGGCCCTAAAGGGATCCGCCAGCTGACCAGTCAGGATGCAAAGGTAGAAAGACTGGAGGCGGCCCCACCCAGCCCCAGGTGGGGAGGCCTTCCCCTCTCTGCTGCCTCCTGCTCTGTCTGCCACTTCAGTTCTTCTTGCCCCCGTTGCTGAGAGCAGAGTCCTTTCTAAGGCCATGCCCTGGTGTGAGCAGCAGTGGAGAGCGTTTGGAGATGGCATCGTGGGGCAGATGGCCCTTTACATCCCCGTGGCTGTCATCTACACAGAGGTGGTGGGAGGGGAGACAGGGCCGCTATGATTACTCACAGAGCTCAGCAGTCTTGCCCTTTCAGCAACAATATGAGGCATGATTCCCTTGGAAGCCAGGGGACCTGGGTCCAGTCCTGGCTCCACTGCCAGCTTGGCACATGACCTTGAGCAAGTCCTGGCTTTCTCTAGACCTCATTTTCTCCTTGGCATAGGGAGGGACTTGGTCTAGATCAAGCTTGTGGTCCCAGGACGGCTTTGAATGCAGCCCAACACAAATTTGTAAACTTTCTTAAAACATGATAAGATTTTTTGTGCGATTTTTTTTTTACACTCAAGTAGTGTTAGTGTATTTTATGTGTGGCCCAAGACAATTCTTCTTCCAATGTGACCCAGGGAAACCAAAAGATTGGACACCTCTGAACTAGGGGGTCCGTCTAGCCTTAATAGTCTTTGATTCCTCACCCCAGCTCCCCCATACTGACCAGTCTTTGATACTCTCTTCATCTCCCAGAGAAACTCCCAGTTCCTCCTCACCCCAGCTCCCCCATACTGACCAATCTGCATGGCCCAGTCCTGGTAGTGGGATGGTCTGAAGCTCCCCCTTCTTTTCCCGCAGCCCACCTGCCTGGCCGAGTTCAAGCAGATCAGGTCCATCAGGTGCCTGCCACTGGAGGAGGGCCAGGCGGTACTGCAGCTGGGCATTGAAGGTGCCCCCCAGGTGAGTGTCTCTGGGCACCTGGCAGCTCTGCAGGGGATATAATGGCAAGTTGGGAGCTCTTGCTCAGACCAAAAGTCCATGGCACGCAGGAGGCCAGGAGCTTCCTGGCTTTGGGGATCGTGTTAAGAAAACTGCACCAAGTTGTTAGACAAAAGGTACCAGGATGATGATAAATTGTAGGAAAATTCGGGAAACAATTTGTTTAATGTCAGGAAAGAAATTGGGAAGGTTTTCAGGTAGAGGAATGTTCAAGGTGAGCAGAAGTCAGGTATAAATCACAGGCCTAAGTTTTACGAAGAGAACAATGATGTGGACATCAAGACCTCAAAAACATGGGGTTTTTTTGTTTGTTTTGTTTTGTTTTGCTTTGTTTTGTTTTGTTTTGTGGTAAAACACCCAGAGAGACCTCAGGCTGCAGAGTGTTCATCTCTCTCTCCTTTCACCCATCTGTGCCCTGCCCCATTGCCTCCCCTTCTTCCTTCCTTCCTTCCTTCCTTCCTTCCTTCCTTCCTTCCTTCCTTCCTTCCTTCCTTCCTTCCTTTCCTCTCCTTTCCTTTCCTTTTCTTTCCTTTCTTGACAAAGTCTTACTCTGTCGCCCAGGCCAGAGTGCAGTGGTACAATCTCAACTCACTGTAACCGCCGCCTCCTGAGTTCAACAGATTCTCCTGCCTCAGCCTCCTGAATAGCTAGGACTGCAGATGCATGCCACAAGACCCAACTAATTTTTTTACTTTTAGTAGACACAGGGTTTCACCATGTTGGCCAGGCTGGTCTCAAGCTCCTGGCCTCAGGTGATCTGCCTGCCTCAGCCTTCTAAAGTGCTGGGATTATAGGTGTGAGCCACTGTGCCCAGCCCCCTCTTCCATTTTCTCAGTTTCTGCTTCTATTTATTGAGCACCGACTAGATACCAGGCATTGTGCTGTGTGCTCAGAGGCCAAAATAAGTGAGGCCTGGGACTGGCCTTTGGAGAGCATGGACGTACAGGTGAAAGGGGTGACAGAATGCAGTCTGGACTCCAGGGTAGGGCCCCAGGAGAGGTGCAGACAACATTGGCATCCAGGCAAGGGTTGTGGCAGGGGTCCTGCCATCTGTTCGCCAGCCCTGGGGGTGGTCTCTAGCTAACGCTCTGGGGTTTCACCCTTGGCTGGTCTCTGCTCCTCAGGCCTTGTCCATCAAAACCTCGTCCCTGGCAGAGGCTGAGAACATGGCTGACCTCATAGATGGCTACTGCCGGCTGCAGGGGGAGCACCAAGGCTCTCTCATCGTCCATCCTAGGAAAGGTGGGTTCCATTTAAAGGTAAAGTGGCTGGACCACGGGTGGCAGCACACCCAAGTCCCCAGAGGCAGAGTGGCAGAAGCTAAGTGGCTGATGGATAAGTGAATGAGGAGGCTTCCCCCACAGCCCAGTGGGAAGCTTCCAGTGGGCCCATCTTGGGCTTTAAGCCCTGGCTGGTCCACCTACCCACAGCCCTGCTAGTCAACGTCCACAGAGAGGCACCTTCTGGAGGAGAAGCGTTTTAGCCCCAGCAAGCTCAAAGCCATCGCTAGAACAAGGCTGGTCCCGCCTGTGTGTGTCTCCATCTTGGGTCTTGGGTCTTGGGTCTTCCTTAATCAGGAAGCAGGGGTCCCAGCTGGAGCAGGCGAAATCTGGCCTGAGGCAGCCTCCAAGGAGATTCCAGTTCTGGCCCAAGGCCTCCCTCGCTCCCAGGCTGGAAGAGAATGGAATCAGGGGCTGGGGTGGGAGGAGAGTCCCTTTTAGGAATAGTGAGGAGGCCAGTCACCCACTTAGGCCCCTGTGTCCCCAGCTCCAACCTCCTCCTTCTTCCTCTCTTCCTAGATGGCGAGAAGCGGAACAGCCTGCCCCAGATCCCCATGCTGTGAGTACAGTGGGGTACAGAGGACAGGGCCCTGAGCTTAGCCTGTGCTACTAAGAGGAAGAAGAAACTGGGAGTCCCCACCTCCATAGTTTCTGGTTTTCAGGCCCAGGAGAACCCTGAAAAAAGATGATCTTTCCCTCCCAGTAAATACCTGCAGGAATATTTCTTTGCCTTCAGGCCACCTGGTGTTGTGCTGGGGGGTTGCTGCTGTCCCCCAACTCCAGCCCCTGGCAGCCTTGGCTGTGCTCCCAGGTCATTGCTAATCTGGACAGACTACTTCTCCCCAGGGGGCAGGAGGAGAGGGCGGGCTGAGGCTACCCAGGGGAGCATTACTGGACTCTGAGCTCACCTGGCTTCTGCCCTCTCACCTCCTACAGAAACCTGGAGGCCCGGCGGTCCCACTTCTCAGAGAGCTGCAGCATAGGTGAGCTGCCTGCTGCATCCTCCACCTGCTCCAGTTGCCTCCCGTCTGCTTGCTCCCCGCTGCCTGCTCTCATGACATTGCCGAGGGTGTCCTCCAAGTTACAGGAAAACGATCCTCCCCCGTAACTTCTCAATGATGGCTTTAAAATATCATGAATTGTGGCTGGGTGCAGTGGCTCACGCCTGTAATCCCAGCACTTTGGGAGGCCAAGGTGGGTGGAGCATGATGTCAAAAAATCGAGACCATCCTGACCAACATGGTGACACCCCATCTCTACTAAATATACAAAAATTGTATGGGCATGGTGGCATGTGCCTGTAGTCCCAGCTACTTGGGTGACTGAGACAGGAAAATAGCTTGAACCCAGGAGGCAGAGGTTGCAGTGAGCTGAGATCGCACCACTGCACTCCAGCGTGTCAACCCAGGAAGATTACATCTCAAAAAAAAAAAAAAAAAAAAAAATTCATGAATAGTAATCACTAGTGTGTATTGAGTACTTAGTACATGGCACCATGTTTATCTTAGGCAGCTTGGCCTGCCGTAACAAAATACCGTAGACTGTGTGGCTTAAAACCAGATACTTTATTGCTCACAGTTCTAGAGGCTGGAAGTCCAAGATCAAGGTGCTGGCTGGGTCTGCATCTGGTGAGGGCTTTAATCCTCATTTGCAGATAACTGTCCTTTCACTGTGGGCTCACGTGATGAAGAGAGAGTTCTGGCCTCTCTTCTTCTGCTTATAAGGGCACGGATCCCATTATGCGGGCCCCACACTCAGGACTGCACCGCCTCCCAAAGGCCCCACCTCCTAATCCCATCGCATTGGGAGTTAGGGCTTCAACAAAGGAGTTTGAGAGGTACACAAACATCTAGTCCTTAGTGGTATTAAACATGCAACAGGTATTATTTGATTCAATCTTTACAGCATCCCCCAGTATTCATTTCATAGAAGGGGAAACTGAGATTAAGGGAGATTAACCAACTTGCCCTAAACAATGCAAGTTGGGAAGCAGAGAGCAGGGAGTTCAGCCAAGGTGCCCTGGGCTCTGTGGCCACTCTAAAACCTGGGTTGGGAGCCCGGGACCTGCCTGGCTTTTCCTCCTATCCCCTTGGTCTCCACTGGTCTCCACCAGGGAGCCTCACACCTGATTCCTGGCAGTGCCCACCAAGGGCATCTTGTCCACGTCTGCGCTTCTTCCTGTCATTCCAGAGTCAGACATCTACGCAGAGATTCCCGACGAAACCCTGCGAAGGCCTGGAGGTAGGTTGTCAACCCCGCCACAGCGACTGCAGTCAAGGCCCTGTGAAATGACACGGCAAGGACTCTGGTGACACCACAGGGAATGTTCTTTTCCTCCTTTATCCTCCCTTCGTGCTAGGCTTAGACAGTGGCAAGCCTGAGATGCCGTGGATTTGAAAGCTGAGATGTTTTTTTTTCTCCCTATACTGATTGCCCTTTTGTGTGCCCATGGAGCTGCGTGGGGATTCTAATAACTTGGATCTGGGACCCAGCCTTCAGAGGGAGCAGGGGGATGGCTCTTCCCTGAGACAGTGGAACACTCTAGACCCCCATTTCCCCAGCCCAGCCCCTGGATCTTGGCTGAGGTGTTACAGATCTGGTGACGCCTGCCTTTGGAGCCTGCAGACACTCAGGTTCCCTGCGGGGCACCACCGATCTCTGTGATCTGCGACTGTTTTCTCCATCTGTGCAGGTTCACAGTATGGCATTGCCCGTGAAGATGTGGTCCTGAATCGTATTCTTGGGGAAGGCTTTTTTGGGGAGGTCTATGAAGGTGTCTACACAAATCACGTGAGTTCCAGGATCTTCCCTGACACTCCTTTTCCATGTGTCAGTATGGTGAGACAGAGCTTGAATCTGAGCAGGTTGGAGTTGGCACAGCCTTCATCCACTTGGGGCCCCTTGTCTCTAAGGGCCCCTTGTCCACTGGGCACGATGGTATTTATTAAATACTCAAAGAATGATGGAGTCAAGAGTCATTTTCAAGAAGGGTAGCAAAATACCAGGGATGGAGATACAGGGAGAACCTGGAGAAGGGTCACTGATTCTTGGTGGGAGAATACAAAGGGGGCGGCAGGATAAAGACAGTTCTGAGAAAAGGCGAGGCAGGATCTGGAGTTAGTGTCAAGGCCAGTGACGGGGGAGGGCAAGGCTGACCACTGTGGTCACGATTCTAGCAGGCCCAGGGGAAAAAAGAAAGAGGCAGCAAGAATGTAAAATCCAACGATAAAGAGAGAGAAAGAAAACGGCCCAGCCTCCACGCCTGATAATTGCCTGCAGGTGCTTCTGGCTTTGGGTAGGTCACACAGCCCCTCAGTCTCAGTGTCCTCATCTGGATGGATGAGTCAAGAGCGGCTTGACTCATCTGACCACTAAAGCCCTTTTCAGTTCTAACAGACCCTGATCAAGAAGAAGGGGAGTGGGGAAGGAGAGGAGAGGAAGACAAAGGGGAGAAGAAGAGAGACGTAGGAGAAAAGGACCTTGGCTGGTGGCAAAGTCTGCAGGAGGCCATGGGGAGGCCAGGAGGGAACATTCTGCTGAGCGCTGGGCTGGACCAAGGGGTCCTGAACACACTCTTGTTACAGAAAGGGGAGAAAATCAACGTAGCTGTCAAGACCTGCAAGAAAGACTGCACTCTGGACAACAAGGAGAAGTTCATGAGCGAGGCAGGTAGGGACCCCTGAGACCAACCAGGCCTCCAAGATGGGAGGGGCTTGGACCTGGGAAGGGAGGGGTGAGCAGTGCAGGGACCATGTTGGAGGAGGGGTCCCCGTTCCCCTTGCTGGAAGAGCAAAGGCCTTTTCTGAATTGGACCTTTGAGCCGCCCCGCCTGTCCGTCTTGCCCCCCGACTGCAGTGATCATGAAGAACCTCGACCACCCGCACATCGTGAGGCTGATCGGCATCATTGAAGAGGAGCCCACCTGGATCATCATGGAATTGTATCCCTACGGGGAGGTGAGCTGGAGGTGGTAGAAGAGGGACTCTGCGGTGACCCCTGAGCTGCAGCATTGGGGGGCATTCAGAGCACAGCCCATGCCTCCCAGCTTCCTGGCTTCTGTATTCAGCTGTAACAAGCCAGAGGCCCTGTTTGTCAAGGAAGTTGCTGGAACATTTTGCCAGCTTTGGGTTTGTCTCCCGCCACCCCCAGGGAAGGGTCAGGAGCTGCCAGCACCCTGGCCCCCTGGCTCCGTGCCGGGACCAACCAGGGGTCTTGATGGCACCTCCCCATTCCCGCAGCTGGGCCACTACCTGGAGCGGAACAAGAATTCCCTGAAGGTGCTCACCCTCGTGCTATACTCGCTGCAGATTTGCAAAGCCATGGCCTACCTGGAGAGCATCAACTGCGTGCACAGGTAGGGGTGGAGGGGGTGGCCAGCGGTGTGGAAGCCAGGCCTTCACCGGATCCTCAAGGCATCTGGGTAGAAGCAGGGTTTGTGGGTGACACAGAGCAGTGTTGGAATCCCAGCATTGGCCCTGCCTGTGCCAGCAGCTTCGAGCACTTGAGCAACCTCTCTGACTCTGTCTCCTAATCTGTAAAGTTGCAGGTACTGTATGTACCTCATGGGGTTGTTAGGAGTAACTCTGAAGTCTGAGGTGTCTGTCTATAGCTCAAGACCTTCTAGCCCCTCCCCTGGGAGTGCCAGGAAATGGCCCCCAACCTTCCTTAGAGCTCACTCACCTCCAGCTCACCGGCTTGGTGGCACGTGGCCCAGGAAGAAGGGACTGGGCTGGAGCAGGGCCAGAAAAATCCTGAGGTCCTGACCCGAACACCATCCTGGTTCCTGGCACCCCTGGCCTGCCGAGTCCAAGCCTCCCTGTGGCTGTGGCAGAGTTGGCCCCTGTTCTTTTTTTTTTTTTTGAGACAGAGTCTTGCTCTGTCGCCCGGGCTGGAGTGCAGTGGCCGGATCTCAGCTCACTGCATTACGCCATTCTCCTGCCTCAGCGTCCCATGTAGCTGGGACTACAGGTGCCCGCCACCTCGCCCGGCTAATTTTCTTGTATTTTTAGTAGAGACGGGGTTTCACCATGTTAGCCAGGATGGTCTCGATCTCCTGACCTCGTGATCCACCCGTCTCGGCCTCCCAAAGTGCTGGGATTACAGGCTTGAGCCACCGCGCCCAGGAGTTGGCCGCTGTTCTACCTGGCTTTGTTCCCATTCCCTGCCATGAGAGCCTGACCCCCGAGAGAGTTAGTGGTTGGACATTACCAACCATTGACATTGGCTCTGTGGCCTTGTGCCTGATTCTATGGAAAGCCACATCAGGGGATAAAAACGTGCATTCATTCATTTGTTCGTTCGTTTGTTCATTCATTTATCCGTCCAACAAGCACTATGGAACACCTCTCAGTGCCAGGCACTGACCTAGGCTCTGGGACAAAGTCGCATTGAAAACAAGCAAAACTCCTTTTCCTTGTGAAGCTTACCTTCTAGCATGAGGGTCAAACTAGAGAAATCAATTGTCAGGACAAAGGTGGTGGGAGGATAGATTCGTTTCTTTGGTTTGTTCATTTGAAGTTGCCGTGCTTTTAAGTCATCATTTCAACTATAAAACAAACACTAGAAAGTGGAGCCTGCCTGTGAGAAGCAAGCAGGCAAACTAGTTTGGGGTTGGGAGTGATGGCAAGAACACAGGGTAAACTGAGTCAGTGGTGCGTCTCCTGGGAGGAGAGAGAGCTCAGCTCTGGAGTAGCCTACCTGGGCAACACCCTTTTCCACCGGTGACCTGCTGGGCAAGTTCCTTCAGCTCCCTGGGTCCGGTCTCCTCCCCTGCACCAGGGGGGTCTGAGGGTCTCTCTGTCATGACTCATGGTGTGTGAAGCTCTCGTGCGATCCTAGTATCCTAAGTGCCCCATCAGAGTTAGCTGTGCCGCCGCTGCCACTCCTGCTATACCAAAGGCCTAACCCGTACTGTGGAAACGCAGATGAGAGAGAATACCTGTGTTCAGGGAAGTGGTTGGAGTTTATCCTTAAAGAATCACCAGGTGACAGCCTCCCTGGCATGGGGGACAGTGTAGGCAACAGCACAGAAGTGGAGTATAGCTGATGCCAGGAATCTGAGCCAGGCTTCAAGCTGGAGATGCATGAAGGGGTGATGGGAGACAGAACCCGACAGCAAGAGGGAAGGAGACGGCAAAGCACCTGTGCATGTTGGGGTGCAGAGGGGCCAGCTGGGCTCCTACCTGAGCTGTGCTATAGCAAGACCACTCGGGGGAGACAGTGACCCACAGAAGCTGCCCAGTTCTGCTCTGGAGGCTGAGTCCCTGGCTTACACTCTTGGTCTCTTTTTCAATCTGTCTGTCCGTCTCTCTGAGTGTTCCTGCTCCCATGGGGGTGGGCAGTGACTCATCCTGGTTTTGATGCCCTATTTCCAGGGACATTGCTGTCCGGAACATCCTGGTGGCCTCCCCTGAGTGTGTGAAGCTGGGGGACTTTGGTCTTTCCCGGTACATTGAGGATGAGGACTATTACAAAGGTGAGGAGGACTTCCCAGCCTCTGCTTTGGCCTTGGAGGGGTCGCTGAAGCCAAAAATTCTAGAAGAAGGAAGTCTACAGTTGGACAGCCCAGCCTAAGGGTCTTCAGAAAGTAGGATGTATTTCTGGATAATTCTGATCTTTCTTCCCTAAAAATTAACCTCTTTGCCCACCCAAAGCCTCTGTGACTCGTCTCCCCATCAAATGGATGTCCCCAGAGTCCATTAACTTCCGACGCTTCACGACAGCCAGTGATGTCTGGATGTTTGGTGAGTGCTGATTTGGGAGGGTATGAAAAAGAGTTCAGATTCTCACCTCTGAACCAAGCTAAGGGGGTGGGTGCAGGGAGCAGGGTCTGACCTCCACCTCCCGTTCCCAGGGTTCAATTTTGCTGTGGCCCCTGAGAAGTCTCAGAGTGAGGGAGGCCAGTAGGGGTAGGAAGGGGGGTGACCCAGGCTAAGGACTGGCCTGGGCTGTGCAGGCTCATCCTCCTGGAAGAGGTTCTTGTGACGTGTGTGCTCCACCTACCAGCCCCAGAAACTAAGATGGAACTCTGTGACTGGTTCTGAGAGAGGTGCAGGAAGGGGAGAGAGCAAAGGCAGGTGTAGAGACAGCTCCTTAGGGAACACCTCCCGCCGACCATCTCACTTAGTTCTCCCGCAGTCAGCCCCATAGAATATTATTATTACTCTCATTTTCCAGTTAAGAAAACTGAGGTTCAGGTGAGTCAGGAGCCTGCCCACAATCACACAGGCACCAAGCGTTGGTGCGAGGCTTCCAATTCCAGCTTTACTAAGCAGTGGCTCCCCTCCCTCCCAAGAGAAGACACTTGTGGTCCCAATGACATGCCATGACTGCCACCTGTTGATCCTGCAGTACCCTGACAAGGGTCTAGGGAGCAAAGTCTTAGGTCACTTACTGCAGATGTAGGTCACTTGTCCCTCGGGCAGACCACCATGGTGGGCAGGACCCCACGGTGCTGGAGGGGGAGGAAGGACCACAGGAGCTGGTTCTGGTCAAGACCGAGCACTAATGGTGACAGTGCTCCTGGGTGGGAGGGACTGGTCTCCCCACCCGGGACCTGACACTCCCTTCCACCCCAGCCGTGTGCATGTGGGAGATCCTGAGCTTTGGGAAGCAGCCGTTCTTCTGGCTGGAGAACAAGGATGTCATCGGGGTGCTGGAGAAAGGGGACCGGCTGCCCAAGCCCGACCTCTGTCCACCAGTCCTTTATACCCTCATGACCCGCTGCTGGGACTACGACCCCAGTGACCGGCCCCGCTTCACCGAGCTAGTGTGCAGCCTCAGGTAAGCATGGAGTGTGGGCTGGGGGCTGGGGGCCCACCCGGCTGCACCAGGGAGCAAGACCAGCACACAGAGACATTTGCACCGCATCTCCCTAAATGAGACAGGCCAGGGTCAAGGATGGGAGGCTGAAGCCAGGTTCACTGTCAGATATGAGCTTAGAGATAAGGCGGCCCTGGGGAAGTCTGGCTTATCTGGGCATCTGTCAACACAGAGCACAGAGCCTTGTTCATAGGATGTGCTCAGAAAATATTTTCTAGGTTAGACTTAGAAGCCTGAGCCAGACTCTCATTGAAGTGCCTGTGCTCTTTGTGGTATTGAGGCGTCCCACCTGCTTTCCTCTCGCCTCATCTCTCGACTTTGATCTTTCCTCCCAGATAGCAAGGAAGGGAGTGATCTTTGACCTGTTATTCAAGACTATGACCCAGGGGCCACCTCTCCCTTCTGAATGGGGGATAAGGGACCTGAGGACCCGTCGGTGCCTAGGAGCCATGATTCCCTAGGTCTGGGGAGGTCACTGGGGAAGAAGGTCATCTGTTTCGGAGGTTCAGGGTCCTCCAGTTTTCTTGGTAGCAAGCCTGCCATTAGCCCTCCTGCGGGAGATCTGACTTCTTTTGGCTTCCTCTGGGGTAGGAGTCAGTAATCATTTTCTATAAAGGGCCAAATAGTAAATATTTGGGGCTTTGCAGTTTATGCAAGTCTCTGCCAGAACTGCTAACTCTCTTAACTATGGCTGCTCAAAAACAGCCATAGACCATACATCAATGAATGGGTGTAGCTGGGCTCCAGTGTCATTTCGGATGCTGAAATTTGAACTTCAAATAATTTTCATGTGTCATAAAATATTTTTTGTCTTTTAGTTTTTTCAGTCATTGAAACCATGTGAAAATCATTCTTCATTTGAGGCCATACAAGAATAGATGAGAAGCCAGATTTGCCCTCTGGGCTCTTATTTGCTGAACCCTACTTTAGGGAGTCTGGAACTTAATTGACTTGAGATATTGTGATTTTTAAATACTGTAGTCAACATGTTGCCTTGTTCAATTTTAGGGCGAGAAAACAGCCCCTGAAAACTGCCTGGTGGGGAGGCACCCCAGGGGATGCCAGCAATGCCCAGGCCAGGGGCACTGGGGGTGACCCTGCATGTTTTCTGTGGGGCGGGGCCTTCAACATCATCTGCAAAACCTCTGGCTTAAAAGGCCTCTCTGTTCCTGTCTATCCCTTCAGTGAGCCTCCCAGTTAATTCTAGACTCCTCTGTTGGTCCCTTGTATGGGACGTTTGAGAAGCCAAAGGGCTGCAGGATAAAAGTATTTGAAAGATGTAATTTGGGAGGGTAAAAGCCCTGGGGGGATGGAGCTGGGGGTTCTGATTCACTCTGAGGCCTTGAGAGCCACAGGGAGCTGTGCAGGTGCCTCTCCTGGGCTGAGAGGTGTTCCCATCATCCCCTGGGCTGAGAGGGGTTCCCTTCATCCCCTGGGCTGAGAGGGATTCCCTTCATCCCCTGGGCTGAGAGGGGTTCCCGTCATCCCCTGGGCTGAGAGGTGTTCCCGTCATCCCCTGGGCTGAGAGGTGTTCCCGTCATCCCCTGGGCTGAGAGGTGTTCCCGTCATCCCCTGGGCTGAGAGGTGTTCCCGTCATCCCCTGGGCTGAGAGGTGTTCCCGTCATCCCCTGGGCTGAGAGGTGTTCCCGTCATCTCCTGGGCTGAGAGGTGTTCCCGTCATCTCCTGAACTGAGAGGTGTTCCCATGATCTCCTGGGCTGAGAGGTGTTCCCATCAGAGGCACTGGCCAGGCCCCCGCCCCAAGTGGAGGTGGGAGCTGGTTTCTGGTGTGGTCTGGAAAACACCAAAAAACTCAGAAGACCCCAGGTTGCTTCCTCAGGCCACCACCTGACACTTCCTCCTTAGAGTTCAGAAGGGATTTGATCAGTGTTTGCTAATCGTTCCAGGGAGGAAAGACCCTTCTAATTCAAATTTTGAGTGTCTCTGTGTAACAATAATTATATTTTTAAAATCTTTTGCTGAACAAAATATAGTGGGCTATATAATGCATTTTAAAATACATACACACTTGAAAATATAATATTAAGTGTCACATATTCAGTAGTATATAATACTTGCTACCCATATGAACATGTGGATTCATGGGCAGTAATAATTCCAGAGTCCTCTGGGGTCTGTGATTCCAGGTTAGGAGCACTGGATTGGGTAAGAAAGGTGAGAGGCGTGCACATGGCTAGCCTGGGAGTGAACCCACATGCCTCATTAGCACACACCTGGGATGCGTTGGGGGATGTTTCATGAGAAACAGGAGATGTAGATTCTAGGCCAGGGCCATGAAGTTGGCTGGGACTTTGGAAATCTACATAAGGGTTTGGTGCCAATCACAAGCCCAGGAGGGCACAAGGCCTGGGGAGTGGGGCTGCAGTCAAGCTCCTACTGCATGTTTGGGCTGGGACTGGCTCAACAAGGATGCTTTTCCACCTTGGATCTATTCCTGTGATCCTCCCAACTTCAGTGTGGCCTCAGGGCCCATATCCAAGCCTGTCTCAGGGGGCTCTCCCCAGGCCACTCTGCAGTGGAGATGGAAACAGAAATGGGACCTAGCAGCCTTGCCCAGGCCTCTCTGGGCTTCCACGGAGTACAAAGAGGAGCCCCAAGGAGCGTCTCACTTTGACCTTGTTTCTCTCCTTATCTGACCTGACTCACTGCAGTGACATTTATCAGATGGAGAAGGACATTGCCATGGAGCAAGAGAGGAATGCTCGCTACCGAACCCCTAAAATCTTGGAGCCCACAGCCTTCCAGGAACCCCCACCCAAGGTAAGCCAAGCCGTGGCCTCATGGATCCTGTGAGTCAAAGCAGAGCCAGGTCCCTGTCTGATCCTTGCCCCCCTTACTGCACAGGCAGAATGCCCCCTACAGCCCTCTCTCAGTCCTTCACCTGGCATCCACCATCACTATCAGTGTGTCACATCAGTGCTCTGGCAGGTGGACTTAGAGATAGCAGCCACCTTGTGGGTCAAGAATCATTCCTCAAAAGTGTTGCCTGAGAGGCTGGGCTTGTCTTCTAGGTGTTTTCTTAGGAACAAATGAGATCCCCATGAGGACACATGGATGGGAAGTATCCTGGGTCTTTTAGGTCCAGTCCCTACATCTATACCCCCCATGGCCACCCTGAGCTCAGGAACCAGGGCCCTGCTGCCATTAGGTGGGTAGGTCTGAGAGGCCATGCCTGTCCTAGTCAACTGGAGCTGCTGCAACAAAAGGACCACAGACCAAGTGGCTTAAACAACAGATGTTTATCTCTCACAGTTCTGGAGGCTGGGAAGTCCAAGATCAAGGCGTTGGTTTCTTGTGAGGGCTCTCTGCCTGGCTTACAGACAACCACTTTCTCACTATGTTTTCACCTGGCAGACACAGAGTCATCTTTCTTTTTCTTCTTATGAGGGCACTAATCCTATCATGGGCTCCATCGTCATAACCTCATCGAACCCTAATTACCTCCAAAAACCTGCACTTCCTTAATGCTATCACATTGGGGGTTCAGGCTTCAACATGCAGATCGAAAAGGAGGACAAATATTCAGTCCATAACAATGTCTGATCCCATCTAAGGCCTTTTCTCACTTGTCCCTCTTACCTGGCGTGTCCCACCCCTCCCCTCAGGCCTGGCTCAGTGTTCATCTCCTCCATGTGGCTTCTGTGAGTGCCCAAGCCCCTGGTGAGCTCCTACCTCTGCATGCCTGTGCTCTGGAGCTCTGACTTGGCGGGTGCTCCCACATATAGGGAGGCAACAATGTACCGATCATTAACCCTCCAATTAGCCATAGCCCCAGGAGGGCAGCGAGGTGGCTTCTTTGTACCCTCCACCACTCAGTAGATAATCAGTGCTCAATAAATGGATGCAAAAGGAGTTTTATGACAGCTTTGTCCCTCAACTTTCCTTCCTTCAGAACAAGTCTGAGGTGTCTTTGACCTGATGTTCCCCTTAGTGAGTTGTGTTCACTCAAGGAGAGGGACAGAGACTGACCCATCTGTGTTCTCTCTCCAGCCCAGCCGACCTAAGTACAGACTCCCTCCGCAAACCAACCTCCTGGCTCCGAAGCTGCAGTTCCAGGTAAAGATAGAACCAGATGATGGGAACTTCAGGTCTGCCTCTCATCCAGGTCCTTCCTGAAACTCCATTCTTGTGCCTTAGAGGAGCAGCTGTCACTCACTTGGGTGATGGAGATTGCCTAGGTTTACTCTTCTTTGGCATCCAGAACAGAATGCAGACTCAGATCACAAGAATTAAAATACTGGTCTCCCAGGCTGTGCTCAGCTGAGACCTGCCTTAAGCCCCATCCCTCTGTCTACAGCGTCTGCTGCTTTGTGTGCCTGCCTGCTGCTCTCTCCCCACATATAAGGCCTCCCAGGCCTCCTTCCCAAAAGGAATCCCAGGGAATATTCCCCAGCAAATGGAGTGGCTCCATGGGTCTCCCCAAAGAGGCCCCATCCAGAACCTGGGTGGCCACTGAAGAGACAGCAGGGTTTTACCTGAGCTTTCTCCCAGCTCCATTATCCCCAACCATGACTCTTTCCCAGGCTATGGGTCCCTGACCCTGAACGTCTCTGTTCTGTGTCTCTCTTGCCTCTAGGAGAGAGGGAGTACAGTCTCCTCTTATTTCTTCTCTTGCATCCCCCAGCTCAGAGTCACTGCTCAAAAACCAATCCCCTCCACCACTAGAAATAATGTCCATTTAGTTGGTGCCCTTTATAGAAAGGTGGTGTCCCATGGTCCTGTATCTGTTCTCAAGGAAATGCCTGAGTGCCGAAACAAGACCATCTAAGGACTAATAGATAAATCCTCTTCATGTGAAGAGAAAGCTTGATTCAGAAGATGGAAACATGTTCTGGAAAAAAAAAAAAAAAGAAATATACCCATATGTGATATTTAAAACAGAGAGTTAGGTGGGGTGGCACACACCTGTAGTCCTGGCTACTAAGGAGGGTAAGATGGGAGGATTGATTGAGCTCAGGAGTTTGGGACCAGCCTGGGCAATATAGTGAGACCCCATCTCTAAAAGCAAAGAATAATAAAATTGTGATACAATTATTTTTTAATTTAAAAAAAATTCAAGGCAGCCATGGTGGCATGCATCTGTAGTCCCAGCTATGTGGGAGGCTGAGGCAGGAGGATGGCTTGAGGCCAAGAGTTTAAGGCTGCAGTGAGCTATGATCATACCACCGTATCCCAGCCTGAGCAACAGAGCAAGAGCCTGTCTGAATTTTTAAAAAATAATTCATACATATCTCTATAAATCGGTGTGTTAACCACATCAGTCAGTTTGTCATGCAACTGAAACATAACTGTTTTTGAAAGAGTCCTGAGGGAGGAACCCTGGTCTCAGCGGGTCAGTAACCAGCGTGGACCCCACTGTGTGCAGAGCATCATAGGGGAATGTTGGATGAATGAGAGGCCACGCTGCTCCACCATCTCTCTCGGAGCAATGGAAGGCCCACGTCGTGTTCTTTATTAACTCCTGGAGAGCAAGCCCTATCCCCCATGGTGCTCATGTGTGGTTTCTTTGTGCTCATGTTTGTAGCAGCTAATTGTCCACCTTCTCGCTTTGTCCCGTGCCTTGTGCTTCTTTGCTTTTCCTGAATAGGTCCCTGAGGGTCTGTGTGCCAGCTCTCCTACGCTCACCAGCCCTATGGAGTATCCATCTCCCGTTAACTCACTGCACACCCCACCTCTCCACCGGCACAATGTCTTCAAACGCCACAGCATGCGGGTAAGAGGGCTCTGCATGCTGGTCCCTGCCCGGACTGAGGAGGCTGCTGGAGGGAGGTGGCCGGGGACACTGGAAACCCCACGTCTTCAGCTCAGGAGGGCCCTCCCTGCTCCCCTGCACCAGTCAGGCCACCAAGCAGGAACTCTCTGACTTCCTTCCTTTTGCAAACACATCAGAGGCTGGCAGCCACACCAGGCCCTGCTCTGGAGGACACCAGCTGGACCTAACCTGCCCTTGGCCATGCTGGTGCTATGGCTAGAGATATACAAATCTCTCCCTCTCCTGAGCCCCAGGGGTAGGGAGATCCGTGGCAGCATGGAGGCTCCTAGGCAGGGCACAGCACAGCTTAGTGGTGCTTGAGTAAAGGATCCTTCCTACTTGATGGCTTTGGGTATGAAATCTCTCCTCAGTCAAAGGAAAGGCTTCCTTGTGGCTTTTTTCCCTTCTGCTTTCGTTCAGGTTGCTGCTGGGTGAGGAGTTTAGGGTTAGTGGGAATACAGGCTCATTAACTGGCTAAAGCAGGGGCCTAAGCCACCTCTCTTGTTAGCTCTTTGTCACTGGGTGTTGTTAACTGCTGGTGAAGCCCCGAGTGCTTCATGGCTGGCTTCTGATTGTCAAGTCTTGTGTGAAAAAGACACTTTTGCTTATAACCAGATGCCCACTGGTCACCAACCACCTTCTTCCATACAAATGGCCCCTGGTGGTCAGTTGTCATGAACACTTAATCTATGTTACTAAACCAACTAAAACACTTATTTTAGCTCTAACTCTGCATACATGCATAGTATTTCAGGCTCACTGAACATGACTAAACTTTTTTTTTGAAAAAATTAGACGTTTATCATAACATATTTGGAAGATACAGGCAAGTATGCTGATATTACTTTCGTGCCATTATGCTTAATTTAGTAGAATTTTGAAATGAGCATGATAACTTAGAATTCCAGGCACTAAGATTTTTTGTGAAATAAATTTTCCTCTGACCTACCTCGTGTTTCTCTTTTATATTAATTTAACCAATTTCTGTCTTTGCATGTGCTTAACAATAATAAAACTGCATTTTTAAGCATGTGCTATAATTTAGGCCGTGTTCAGTTCCTCCACCCGCCTGCCTTTGACTCTCTATTCATAATTGATTGTTTTAGTAAGTTTTGCTTTAAATTGTGTTATTTTAGAATGAAGCTATTTGCACATTTGATGGGTAGCATTGCCTTTATCCAATTTCTGCTTCTCCACAAGGACCTTGTTCAGTTCCATAAAGAGATTGTGTAGTAGGAAAAAAGACCTTTTGTATCAGGGCTTTAGAAGTAATTGCCATAAGGAAAATCTGCCTAAAAGAACATAATGAGCATGTCTTTAAATAAACAAACCTAAAAAAGTTAAAAATATAAGCTCCATTTTATGACACAGATCAGAAACACTGAGAAAGTCTCTTCCAGGTAGAATGCTGAGAAGGTATAATAGGCTCCTCACAAAGCATTTGGAAGCATTTAACAAAAATTCAGAGGTGGTTTTCCCAGAAAAACAACTTTTCTACTGAGTGGCTCTATAGCCTGACTCATCAGGGAGTCTGTGGGATGCCATACCAGCATTGGGATGGCAGCAGTCTCTCTCTTGAAGACCTCACAAAAATTATACAATTCAAGGCTGGGCACGGTGGCTCATGCCTGTAATCCCACCATTTTGGGAGGCCAAGGTGGGTGGATCACTTGATGTCGGGAGTTTGAGGCCAGCCTGGCCATCATGGTGAAACCCCGTCTCTACTAAAAATACAAAAAATTAGTCAGGTGTGGTAGTGTGCACCTGTAATCCTAGCTACTCGGGAGGCTGAGGCAGGAGAACACTTGAACCCGGGAGGCAGAGGTTGCAGTGAGCTGAGATCACACCACTGCACTCCAGCCTGGGCAACAGAGCAAAACTCTGTCTCAAAAAAATAAATAAAATAAAATAAAAATAAAAATAAAAATAATACAATTCAATAAACAGTACGGCTTGCTGTGACTGGTGGACGCTGTCCTCGGTGCTGAAGGAGGGAGGCTCTGCTTTCAAAGCGCTTACAGTCAACCAGAAGGATCAGGCCAGGTACACACTTACCTGTGATGCAAGCCAGAAGGTCGTGGGTATCACAAAGTGGGAGTTCAGAGAGGAGGATAACCCTTTCCAGCTTCTATTTAAAAGCTGGGCCTTGAAAGATGGGAAAGATGTGGACAGGAGGAAACTGAGATTCAGGAAATAGAAGAGGCAGAGGCTTCAGTAGGAGCCAAGACTGAGTGGTGGGAAACCACAGGACAAGTGCAAGAACTGTTGGACTACAACAGGAAGGGTACTTGTGGATGTTGAAATAAGGCCAACAGATGGGTCATAGCCAAATTATGGAAGGTGTCATGACTTACAAGAGTCATTTTAAAACACCATGAGTACCCAATTCCTTTTAAGAATAGAATGTAATTAGCAATGTAAGTATCTATTATCTAATAAGAATATTGGAGACGCATTTCAGCAAAACCAACCTCAAAGAGATTCCATTTTTTTAAGTGTTCATTTTTCTCCTTGAGTTTTATTATGAAATTGGAAGGCATCAGGATGTCTCCTAATCTGTGTTTGTTAAAATACATGGTATGATCAGGCCTGGGGCATGCTAGGCATTTTAGTGGTGGAATCTTCTCTCAACACTTATAAACTTACAAATACTTATAAATGCTTGTAGAATTTTCTTGATTCTAGTAACGCATCCCACTGGTACTTAACCAGTATATTAAGTACCATACTGATATGAAGAGTACTGGTATCATATTCTTCCTTAACCCATACATTTTTCTCACATCCAGAAATCCCTAGCTCTATATTTGGAACTTTTGACACTGAGTTCCTGTTTGTCACTATTTGTCAACAGCCTGGGGCAGCCATGCCATTGTGTCTGCAGGTGTTGACATTTAACTGGGGATTTTTATGGCCTTAAAATGTCCTCATTTTGGAGTATCAGCCTCTGATCAACAAAACCTATTTCATTTTTATCAATTCCATGATTATAAAATACTCTTAAATGCTGGAATCTGTTTTCCTAAAATAAAGTCTAGCTCAGTGGTTCTCAGCTAAGTTGTTTTCCCTCTCAGAGGACATTTGACAATGTCTGGAGGCATTTTTGTTACAACTGGGGAGGTGCTATAGGCATATATTGTGGGGAGACCAGAGATGCTGCTCAGCATCCTGCAATGTACAGGAAATTGTCCTGGAAATAAAGACTTGTCTGGTTCCAAATGTCAACAGTGCTTAGGTTGAGGAGCCCTGGTCTTACTAGTATTTACTTAACCTCATGAGAACAAGAATATTGCACAGTTTAAAATCACTGTCCTCCCAGCACCCAGCCCTGCCACATAGTAGTTGCTTAATAAATAATTGTTGAATAGATTAATGAATAAAGAATATTTCAGCAAGGAACCTAACTTGTGGGGAAACGTGTGATTAGAAATTGAGGTTAGTAATTGAGGCTCAGTGTGCACTAAGTAAAACATCCCAATATAACCACTTTTAAACCATATTGTAATATTCAAGTGTGTTTTGTAGAGCTTAGTGAGGAAAGTCTTTTAAGAGGCTTGGTAGGGATTATTGCTTGCTAAAAGTAGATAGAGATAATTGTTAGCATCTTCTGCAAGTGACTTGTATGCAAATGGCCACTTCAAAGGCAAGGAACTGAGAGACCTGCCAGCTTAGATGTCACAGAAAAATCCTGCCCTAGCAAAGGCAACTCCTGGGTTTTGTGCAATGAAAAGGATGCCAATAATATTCCTCCTCCATCTGTCCAGGAGGTCAGGGTCACCATGTGCTGCACAACAAGAGAAAAATAGTTTAGAGGCACTGAGCAGATATTTATACAAATGAACCATGGGGGAAGATTGAAGGAAAATAGGAAGACATGGAATACTTTCTATTTAGGAACTAGCAGCTAAAACTATGAATAGGTCCAATGCCCTAGAGGTAAGTTAAGGCAAGAGTTAGATTACTAGATCTAGGGAGAGGAAACATTTATCTTATCTCTATCAAACTATATTTCTTTGAATTTTGTTTTTCATGTTATCTATTAGTTCATGCATTTCTTCTAATCATTGGTTAAATAACTCAAGCTATGATTGCATTTATCTTATCTCTGTAGTGCTGTATTTCATGAAATTTTGTTCCTATTTTATCCCTTAGCTCATGCATTTCTCCTAACATTTAGTTAAATAACCCAAGCTATTATCTTAATAAAGAGTATGTCTTAATAGGAAGGCATGATTGGTGGGTGCATGCTGTTGCTTGTTCTCTCAGGCTCTGCTCATTCATGGACACACGTGGGACTGCACACCGTGAGGCTAGAGGCAGCACCCCTGTCTCTCAAAGCTTCCAGACCTGCCACCTTGGTCCTTAGGTGGAGATAGCATCAGAACGGTGTGATGCTCTCCAACTAAGCAAAGCCAGCCCCTTGGAAACCCTTTGGATGCTTTTAGTAGATTTTAAAGTAGATTTTAATAGACTTTAATAGGTTTTCTTTTTTAAATCTATTAAATGACAACAACCATCACAAACATTGAGATAATAGTTTTCTTTTTTAAATCTATTAAATGAGAGCAACCATCACAAATACTGAGATAATGGTAGAGCAGTCACTTGATAAAATATCATGAGCAGATCATGTAATCATTTGAATACAGCGCACGTTGAGCAATATGGGTTCTTGGGTTTGGTATCACATTGCAACACAGGCGTATGCTTCGGGTTGATATCCGGTAACCATCTGCACATATAGCTCTGGGTTTAAGAACAAACTTACGAGAAAAAAGCAGCTGGCCGGGCCAAGGCTTGCTGCTGCCATGAGGTTCTTCAGAGGACTGTCCCTGCCTGAGTCTGAGAGCACGGCTCATTGCATCCTCTCCCTTCTCTCTGCCGTCCTCCTAGGAGGAGGACTTCATCCGACCCAGCAGCCGAGAAGAGGCCCAGCAGCTGTGGGAGGCCGAGAAGATCAAGATGCGACAAATCCTGGACAAGCAGCAGAAGCAGATGGTGGAGGACTACCAGTGGCTCAGGCAGGAGGAGAAGTCCCTGGTGAGCACCCAGGAAGGATGTCGGTGCCCTGCACCCATCTGTGTCCTCTTCCACCTCCCCAGGTGGCTGGGGCAAGGGTCCCCTGCATTCTTGGTGCTTTCAGCTCCAGAATTCTAAGTCCTTTGCTCTTGTTTCTTCCTCTGCAGGACCCCATGGTTTATATGAATGATAAGTCCCCGTTGGTGAGTCGCCAGTAGAGGCCTCTTCCTTCATGCCAAGGCCTGGGAAGGCCTCGTCCACCATAGGACCCCACCCTTGCTCCTACCCCCGGGCCTGCCCAGTTCCTCCTCAGTGGCTTCCCGTGTTGGGAGGGTGTCTTTTCCTTTTCCGCCAACCCCTACGTGGCCCTTTTCCTGAAGTCTCCTGTGATTGCACCCTTAACGCTGTCTGTGGCCCTCCCCAAGGCCCCTCGGCCTCCCAGAATGGTAGCTTTGGGTCACAAGCTGCTCCCAGAAGCACCCCTGACCCCACGGCTGTAATCTCTAAACACACAGTGGAGGGACTGGGGAATGGGTAACGGGGGAGGGGGCTGTCTCCAGAGCCGCATGAGTGACGTTCACGCTCTCTTTCCTCCTTCCTCCAGACGCCAGAGAAGGAGGTCGGCTACAGTGAGTGTTCCCGCCCTTCTTCGGGGGGTTTCCACTTGGCACCTTGCTCAGAACCGCCATCCTTGCCCACCGCCCAGGGCAGGGAGCAGAAGAGTCTGTCTGCGTTTCCTGTAGCATCAGCCGTGATTTAATTCAGAGCACGTGGGGCGGGCCAGCTTCTCCTCCGCTCCCTCCACCCCATTCCTCTCCCTGTCCAGCGCCCTGCCCATCTCTCTCTCAGCGGCCACATCCTCAGGCCCCTCCTCAAGTCATCCCCCTCCTGCATTAGTTTTGAGGAGTTGGGAATTCTCTCTTCCTTATTTCCTGCTCTGTCAGAGGCTCCTGCGGGGAAAGTTAAGCAGTGCCACCTGCCTCTCCCAGTTCAGATTCATCTTCTGTAGGCCTGAGGGACAGAGGAGAGAAAGTGGGAGGGGCAGCTGAGCCCTCAGGCTCTCTCCGGAAGACCCTGTTGAAGGCAGGGAGGGAAGAGCCAGCAGTAAGCCCGGGGCCTGGAGGGGTGGCACTGAGGAGGAGCAGGATGACAGCAGTCACAGAACTGGACACAAGTCAGACATGGGCCTGGGACCATTTATTATCTTCTGAGGTACAAGGTGGTTAAGTAACTTGTCCAAAGTCACACAGCTAATAGTTAGCAAAGCTCAGATTTAAACCCAAGTCTTCTGACTTTAGGGTCCCTTCTGAGCTCACTCTCTTATCTTACAAATGAAAATTAAGGCCCTGGGAGTGTGAGCTGCCTGGGGTGGTCGCAGAGCTCTTTGGTGGCAGAGGTGAGAATAGAAGGCCAGGTGTGATGGCTCACACCTGTAATCCCAGCACTTTGGGAGGCTGAGGTGGGAGGATCACTTGAGCACAGGAGTTTGAGACTGGCTTGGGCAACATAGCAAGACCTCATCTCTACAAAAGATTAAGAATATTAGGCATGGTGATGCATGCCTGCAAGCCCAGCTGCTCAGGAGGCCGAGGCAGGAGGATTGCCTGAGCCTAGAAGGTTGAGGCTACAGTGAGCTGTGATCACGCCACTGTGCTCCAGCCGCGATGATAGAGCAAGCCCTGTCTCAAAAAAAAAAAATGGAACAAAGTGTGCTGAGTGGACTTGTGTATGTCTTTGCTCTTCAAAGTGGGAGTGAATAGCATGCTTCTGCTGCAATTTTGCTTCCTTCAGCCCCAAACACTCCGGGAAAACCATTAGAGAATCCACACAAATTTACTCCATGAGCTGCTGTCTCCCCAGGACGGGGGCACCACAGGCACCTGCTGGCTTCAGAGAGAGGTTTCTTCCCTTCAGATTACCCAGCACTGTCCCTCAGGCCTTGTGTCCATCAGGCAGGAACCCCAAGCCAGAGCTGGGGCACCACTGCAATCCCCCCATCTTGCTGGGACTTTGCCTTTTTCTTCCTATAAAAGGGACAACAGTGCTGTCCCTGACGACTGCGAAACCAGAGACCAGGAGGTTCTTTCTCCTTCCTGCTTCCTGGATTCAGAGTTAATTTCCCTGAGGTCTCCTGGTGGTAGAGGGGAGGGGGTTCATTTGATGTCAGCAGGTACGAAGGGAAGGGTTGGAGTGCTGAGAACTGCCCCCCACTTGCTGTTCTTTTTGTTGCAGTGGAGTTCACAGGGCCCCCACAGAAGCCCCCAAGGCTGGGCGCGCAGGTATGTGTTGGCTCTGCTGAAACTGATAAGAAATGAGAGTGAGAGTTGCACAAGACTGAGGACCATGGACTATGAAAGCTTCACAGTTCTCAGAATGCAGTGCAGTGTCCTCATTATACAGATGAAGCCCGGGGCAGGGGGAGTGGGGTGGGGTGCCTTGCCTAAGGCCACACAGCTAATTCATGAAAAAGCAAGAGGAAGAACCAATCTCCCACCCTTCATCCCCCTACCAGACTTGGAGTAGAACTCCCTGGTCCAGCCTCAGGGAAAGGGATGTGGGTTCCCTCCCTCTTCTGAGCCTCCTCACTTGGTTTCCAGCATCCATTTTTCTTACATCCATCTGGGGTGGTGCTGGCTTTCTTTCCTCTGGAACAGTGATTCTCAGCCTTGGCTGTCCATTACAATCACCCAAGGAACTTTGAAACCCTCTGCACAGGCCAGGTGCAGTGGCTCATACCTTTAATCCCAGCACTCTGGGAGGCCATGGCAGGAGGATTGCTTGAGCCCAGGAATTCAAGACCAGCCTGGGCAATATAGCAAGAACCCGTCTTTACTAAAAATTGTTTTTAAAAATTAACTGGACTTGGTGGCATGCCTGCTACTCAGGAGACTGAGGCGGGAGGATTGCTTGAGCCCAGAAGATCAAGGCAGCAGTGAGCTATGACTGTGCCATTATACTCCAGGCTGGGCAACAGAGTGAGACCCTGTCTCTTGAAAGAAAAAAAGCCTACCTGCACCCTATGTCCAGGCGGTGGTTCTATTAGTCTGTTGTGAGGCTACCACTAGTATTTTGTTAAGGTTCCTTGGCTGGAAACTGCCCCAGAAGTGGACAGGGGCATTGCATCATGGGACAGGGCATGATTGTTCTAGAGAATAGTCCTTTCAAATCGGGCTGGTGGTGGAGGTGGCCGCAGTAGTGCCTGCCCAGGAGAGAATGGTGCCACGCTCTGGCTCTTCTCCACTCACTGGCCACCTGTGTCTTCCCCTCAGTCCATCCAGCCCACAGCTAACCTGGACCGGACCGATGACCTGGTGTACCTCAATGTCATGGAGCTGGTGCGGGCTGTGCTGGAGCTCAAGAATGAGCTCTGTCAGCTGCCTCCCGAGGGCTATGTGGTAGTGGTGAAGGTGAGAGCAGGGCCGGGTCGGGGAGGTGGAGGCAGCTCAACTCTGCCCTGAAGGAAGGAGAACTGCGCTTCCTGTTGGCTGGCCCAGCAGATCCTGTTAGAGCAAGCTGGGCCAGGGGAATTGAGTCCCAGGCCACTCATGGGGCCAAGCACCACCCCAGGAGAGCTCTCCCCAGGGGAAACCTGGCTGTCTCCAAAAGCCACGAGTGGCAGCCATCCTGCCCCTTTCTCTCCTCAGAACGTGGGGCTTACCCTGCGGAAGCTCATCGGGAGCGTGGACGATCTCCTGCCTTCCTTGCCGTCGTCTTCACGGACAGAGGTGAGTGTCCTATCCCAGACAGCGCCAAAGGCTGTTGCTTTGCTCCTGCACCCCCACCTATTCCTGCTTATGCTTCCATCAGAGGCTCACAAGGGCTGCCTGGGCAACGTCATGTCTGTCCACGGAGTCCCCACCAGGTGGGTTCTGTGTGGCTCATCCCATCAGCTACCACCAGAGGGCTAAGAGGGCACCCAGGGACCTGGCCAGATGCTAGCGGGAATTTCCTAGTTCAGGTCTCCAGATGATGGCAGTGAATTCTTACTGAGGTTATGCTAAAGGGGACACACCTTCCTTTCCCCCCTCCTATTATCATTTGTCTGGTTGCCTTGCCGTCTGTGTTAAGATTAACATGGATGAGTCATAGAAATAGCACTTAAGGTTTCTTTAATTATTTAATCTGATTTTCTTTATTTAAATGAGAAACAATCACTGAAAATCAAAACAAGAGTCTTGGTGCTCCACGAGATGGTACCTGCGGTAGGGAGAGTAAAGGCCCCCAAAGATGTCCACATCCTAAGCCCTGGCACCTGGAAACATGCCCCCTTCCATGGCAAAAGAGACTTTGCAAATGTGATAAAGTTAAGAACCTTGAGATTAGGAGATTGTGCTCAGTTATCAGACTGGGCCCAGTGTTGTCACAGAGATCCCGGGGTCAGGGGTCCTGATCTTACCGGGATCTCTGTGACAACACTGGCTGGGTGTGGCAACTCACATCTAGAATGCCAACCCTTTGGGAAGCCAAGGCAAGTGAATTGCTTGAGCTCAGGAGTTTGAGACCAGCCTGGTCATCATGGCAAAACCATACAAAAATTAGCTGGATGTGGTGGCCTGTGCCTGTAGTCCCAGCTGCTCAGAAGGCTGAGGTGGGAGGATAGACTGAGCCTAGGAGGTGGAGGCTGCAGTGAGCCATGGTCACACCACTGCACTCCAGCCTGGGCAGCAGCGACACCCTATCTCAAAACAATAAATGAATAAAACAAGAGGGAGGCAGTGTGTGACAAGAGACACACGGTCAGAGTGACAGATGTGATGGATGAAGGAGGTCGCAGGCCAAGGAAGGCTGCAGCCTCTTGGAGCTGGAGAAGGCAAGGAACAGGTTCTCCTCTGGAGCCTCCAGGGAGAACCAGCCCTGTGGCCACTTTGACTTTAGCCCAGTTGGACCCACTTCAGACTTCTGCCCTTCAGAACTATAAGACAATAAATCTGTGTTGTTTTGCGCCACTAAATTTCTGGTAATTAGTTGTCAAAGCCATAGGCACACAATACAGTGCCATGGGACGTTTGTTGGTTGTCCGCCTGGAGCCCTTTGATCCCCTGCTTCCCAGCGGCCAGCCCTGCAGCACAGATGACTACCACATCCCGCCACTGTCCCTACTGTCAGTGGCTGCCCAAGGCAGGAGAAGGCAGGAGACTTTGGGCCAATTCCTGGCCTCTCTCTCAGGGGCAGTGACAACCCATGCAGGAGCCCTAGGTGGGGCTGTGGGGCTGTCTTATCTCAGTTAAGAGCTCCTTACCCTTGGGATGCCAACCCATTCATTCATTCATCTACTTCATTTGTAAATACCTCTTGGGCACCAGCTACAAACAGGCACACCTCATTTTATTGCACTTTGCTTTCGTTGCACTTCCCAGATATCTCATTTTTCACAAATTGAACATCTGTGGCAACCGTACAATGAGCAAGCATATTGGTGCCATTTTTCCAACAGCACATGCTCACTTTGTGTCTCTTCACATTTTGGTAATTGTCACAATATTTCAAATGTTTTCAGTATGATTATAACTGTTATGGTTGGTGACTGGTGATCGGTGATCAGCGATGTTAGTATTGTAATCATTTTGAGGGGCCATCATAAACTGTGCCCACAGAAGACATATCAATAAATGTTGTGTGTGTTCTGACTGCTCCTCCGACCATACATTCCCCTATCCTCTCCTTGGGCCTCCCTTTTCCCTGGGACACAACAATATTGAAATTAGGCCAGTTAATAACCCTACAGTGGTCTCTGCATGTTCTAGTAAAAGGAAGAGTCGCCCACCTCTCACTTTAAATCAAAAACTAGAAATGATTAAGCTGCATGAGGAAGGCATGTTGAAAACCAAGATAGGCCAAAAAACAGGCCTCTTGTCCCAGTTAGCCATGTTGTGAATGCAAAGGAAAAGTTAGCTACTCCAGTGAACACATGAATGATAAGAAAGTGAAACAACCTTATTGCTGATATGGAGAAAGTTGGAGTGGTCTGGATAGAAGATCAAGCCAGCCACAACATCCCCTTTTCCCAAAGCCTAATCCAGAGCAAGGCCTTCAATTCTATGAAGGCTGAGAGAGGTTCAGGGAGTTGCAGAAGAAAAGTTGGAAGCTAGCAGAGGTTGGTTCATGAGGTTTAAGGAAATAAACCACCTCTGTAATATAAAAGTGCAAGGTGAGGCAGCCAGTGCTGATGGAGAAGCCGCAGCAAGTTCTCCAGAAGATCTAGCTAAGATCATTGATGAAGATGGCTCCACTAAACCACAGATTTTTCAGTGTAGATGAACGACTTTCTATTGGAAGCAGATGCCATCTAGGACTTTCATAGCTAGAAGAGAAGTCAATGCCTGGCTTCAAAGCTTCAAAGGACAGGCTGACTCTCTTGTTAGGGGCTAATGCCGATTGAAGCCAGCGCTCATTGGCCATTCTGAAAACCTTAGGGCCCTTAAGAATTAACCTAAATCTACTTTTCTTATGCTCTATAAATGGAACAATGAACCCTCGATGACCACACATCTGTTTACAGCATGTTTTACTGAATATCATAAGCCCACTGTTGAGGATTAATGCTCAGAAAAAAAAAAAGAGATTATCTTCAAGTATTACTACTCATTGACAATGCCTCTACTCAAGAGCTCAGATGGAGATATAGAAGAAGATTAATGTTTTCACTGCATCCATTCTGCAGCCCATGGATCAAGGAGTAATTTCTACTTTCAACTTCTATTATTTAAGAAATACATTTCTAAGGCCATGGCTGCCATAGATAGTGATTTCTCTTATGGATCTGACTAAAGTTCATTGAAAATATTTTGGAAAGGATTTACCATTCTAGATAATATTAGGAACATTTGTGATTCATGGGAAGAGGTCAAAATATCATTAACCATTTGGAAGAAGTTGATTCCAACCCTCATGGATGATTTTGAGAGGTTCAAGGCTTCAGTGGATGGCTGAGCAGTGCCTCACGCCTATAATCTCAGCACTATGGGAGGCCGAGGTGGGAGGATCAGCTGAGGTCAGGAGTTTGAGACCAGCCTGGTCAACATGGTGAAACCCCATCTCTACTAAAAATACAAAAATTAGCCAGGCATAATGGCAAGTGCCTGTAATCCCAGCTACTCAGGAGACTGAGGCAGGAGAATTGTTTGAACCCAGGAGGCGGACGTTGCAGTGAGTTGAAATTGCACCACTGCACTCCAGCCTGGGCGACAGGAGCAAAACTCAGTCTCAAAAAAAAGATCAGATTCGCATTTTAGAAAGCATGAGAGGATGTTTCCATGAAGGGATGGTCAGGCTGGGCCTACACAGGGTCGGCTGGGGTCTGAGATGTTAGTCCTTGTAGACCTGACTCCACCCTGCACCAGGTGTTGCATTCAGCCCACTCCTAAGTCTGATTTGCTTCCAGGGAACTTCTGATTGCCTTGGCCAGCACGCAGGTGGACACCTCTGTGGCTTCCCTATCCTCCAGGCATAGACTTTGTGGCCCCTCAACCTGTCCTGTGTGATCTTCCTACAGATCGAGGGTACCCAGAAACTGCTCAACAAAGACCTGGCAGAGCTCATCAACAAGATGCGGCTGGCCCAGCAGAACGCCGTGACCTCCCTGAGTGAGGAGTGCAAGAGGCAGATGCTGACGGCTTCACACACCCTGGCCGTGGACGCCAAGAACCTGCTCGACGCTGTGGACCAGGCCAAGGTTCTGGCCAATCTGGCCCACCCGCCTGCAGAGTGACGGAGGGTGGGGGCCACCTGCCTGCATCTTCCGCCCCTGCCTGCCGTGTACCTCCCCTGCCTTGCTGTTGGTCATGTGGGTCTTCCAGGGGGAAGGCCGAGGGGAGTCACCTTCCCTTGCTACTTTGCACGACCCCCTCTCCCCACCCCTACCCCAGGCTGTACTGCTCAGGCTGCAGCTGGACAGAGGGGACTCTGGGCTATGGACACAGGGTGAGGGTGACAAAGATGGCTCGGAGGGGGCACTGCTGCTGCCTGGCCACTCCTCCCTACGCCAGCCTGGTCCGTGCAGGGGGCTCCTGGGGGTGGGGGAGTGTCACGCGGTGCCCCTAGCTTTATATATGGACATGGCAGGCCGATTTGGGAACCAAGCTATTCCTTTTCCTTCCTCTTCGGCCCTCAGATGTCCCCTGATGCACAGAGAAGCTGGGGAGAAGCTTTGTTTTGGGGGTCAAGCAGCCAGTGAGATGAGGGATGGGCCTGGCATTCTTGTACAGTGTATATTGGAATTTATTTAATGTGAGTTTGGTCTGGACTGACAGCCTGTGCCCTCCTGAGGGAGGACCTGGGGCATAGTCCAGGAACAACCTAATGGGAGTCCAGGCACAGGACACTGTGTTGTCAGCAAACCAAGCATCAGAGGGAAGAAGCAGAGAGATGCGGCCAAGATAGGACCTTGGACCAAATCCACTCTCTTCCTGCCCCTCTTTCTCTTTCTTCCTTTACTTTCCCTTTCTTCTTTTCCCTCTTTTCTTACTCCTCCTTTTTCTCCCCCCCGACCCCCATTCTCATCTGCACCCCATTTTCTCACGTGTTTGCATAAACATTCTTTTAACGTCTTTCTATTTGACTTGTGGTTGAATTAAAATTGTCCCATTTGCTTTGCGGTTTGTTTTGTTTGTTTGACCCGCCCTTTGTGGGAGAATGGGGACTGTGAGCCAAGCCTTGGAAGAAACCGATTGTGTTCCTGTTGGATGGAGATCAAGGGCCGTCCAGCGCTGGGCATCGGCCAAGGAGGGACAAACGGCGATGCCCGGCAGTGGGTCAGGGGTGTGCGCTGGCCTCTTTGCCCTTGCAGGGGCCGTGGGGGGCGACTTTCCAGGAGGGACCCAGAGCAGTCCCCTCCATGGCCACATGAGGAATGCCATGTCATTTCTCTCTCAGTGGGCCCCCAAACCACCCAGGTTCCAGAGGGGCTTGGGTGACACTGGTGATGTTGAAGTGTGGCTGGCAGGGAGGGGGCCACACAGTTGAGTAAGCAGTAGGTGCAGCTTTATTTAATCTCTTTATTCACATGCAAGACGGATGGGAGATGTGGACAACAGGAGTGAACCTCACTGTCTCAGGAGAGTGGGTCTGGGAGCCTGAGGCCTCCGGAGAGCAAGCGGGAGGAGAGGGGAGGCTGGGGGCTGCATGCATAGGAGTAGACAGGAGACAGAAACCAGATGGGCCATGAGCAGGGGATAGTGGGAGAGGAATGAGGCATGGCAGGGCGTGGGCCAGGGTGTCACAGGCAGGCTGGGAGTGTCAGGGAGAGATATTCGGGGTTTGGAAGGAGGGGACCCCTAGGACCAAAAGGAAACTGGAAGCTCGCCCTGGTCGGCTTCCTGCCTGGAGCCTCCACACTGTCCCAAGAAGCCAGTGCCCACATCTGTTAGCTGCCAAGGTCCCACCCTCTGGTCTGGACAGAGCTGGGGAGAGGTTTGCTGCCCGATCCCAGGAGCAGCAGCTAGGCCTGGGATCCCGGGTGCAGCCTCAGGCTTTGGGGTGGTGCCTTCCAAAGTGCACACACAGGCGGCTCTGAGGGGTTCAGAGCAGGTCAACACACCCTGGGGCTCTGGGAGAGACGGGCCAGGCTGATAAGGGATGGGATCACAGCTTTGCCATCTACATAGCAGTCCTGGGGCCCAAACAATCCAGCTTGCTCCCCTCAGCCACTCAGAACAAACGCCTTAAGTGCTGACCCACTCACCCGGTGCTGTGCTAGGTGCTGGGGATGGGAAAAATAACAGGCAGAGGTCCTGCCCTTGAGAATTTCAGAATCAAAGGAACTAAAGGCAAAGATCTTCAACTCCCAAGTGAGGCCTCATGCTGATGGAGCCAGGCACAGGGAACAGGGTTCCTGGGGAGGAAGGAGGGCGGAGGGAGGGAGGGAGGACAGGCCGAACGAGATGAGTTTGAGTTGGGTCAGGAGCAGCTCAGGATGGGCTTTCACGTTTGCCCGCTGCGCATGTACAGACATATGGAGGCCCTGCAGGCCATGGCTCAGCTCTGCCAGACCTCCTGGGGGCCGGCTGGTGCAGAGCCATTTTGCAGCAAGGAAGGGAGAGGAATGACGTCAAGGAGAAGCCTGGAGGCTCAAATGTGCTTCCAGATGGATGGAATAGCCCAGCCACCTGTATCCAACAATCCGTCCCTCCCCGGTAGGGAAGATCTGCCCTGCACATCCACCTCAGGTGCAGGCCCTGCCTCCCGCTTCCTCCCCTTCCGGAAGAGCCCTTATTACTCCCCTGCTGGATCGTACAGCTCAGCACCCTGCAACTCGGACAGACTCCGAACTTCATCCCCAGCCTGGCTGAGAGAGACCCCACCTGGCTCTCCAACCTCCTACCTCACCTGGCTGTTCTCCCTGGCACTTCGGGCTCATTCCCAAGTCTAAACATTGTTCAGAGCCCTTCCACCCCCAAGGAACCCTCCCCTTTGCCCCCATGGCCCCTCCTTTGAGGTCTGCATTCCCTTCCTTGTCACCCTGGCCCCACTGTCCCCCTGGTTGACCCTTCTGTCACTTAGGGTCTGCACTGCTCCTCCAGGAGAATCTTACTCTGCCCCACTTGGTCACCACACTATTGTGACCTTCTGCAGAGCTTCCCTAGCTCCTCAGTATCCAAAACAGGAGTCTGCACCCAGCAGGCTCTCAGCCCTGGTACAATAATGTTAAGCTGGATGGAAGCCTGCAATGCCTGGGTCAGTGTCCAGACTCCGCAGAGAGACACCTGCTCACCCCAAAGAGGACACTAGAAGCAGCTGCAGCAGAGATGGTCAAAAGATGGCCAGCGGGGGTGCCCTGGGAGCCAACTTGAGGGAGGTGCAGTCAGATCATTCCAGCTAAGAATGGAGGCAGAAAGAGGCCGATGGTCCCCAGGAAGCAGACGATGATAAACAGCCAGAGGAAGATCCTGTCAATGACCATGGCGACGTACTTCCAGTCCTCCTTCACCTGTGGGGAAGACAGCACACAGTGACGGGGGCCAGGCCCAGGAAAGGGGATGGGTTCCCCCCATGCACAGCCCCTGCACAGATGGCCACTGGGGGCAGCAGTAACTGCCCCACAGAGACCTTGGGGAGCAAAGGTCAGCGCACGGAGCAGGGTGGGTGGAGGGGAGGGACGGGCAGTTTCAAGGCTCCCCTGATGATTCCCCTCCCATCCCAGCCCCTTCACATGTCCATGTTTTGCTCCCAGACTATAGGTAAAGGAGGCTAGAGGGACGCAAGGAGGCGGCAGGACCACCCAGGGGCATGGGCCCTTCTAGGGAGTCTGCAGTGACTTCAATGCAACACCGGACTTTGCTGCCCACAGGTTGCCTCCTCACCCACTTGCTGGAGCTGGGGAGAGGGAAACAGGCGAAGGTGGCTGGGACCCCTGGCAGGCTGGGGGTGGAGCAGGGGCTTTGTAGAACTTGGGCTCACAGCCCAGACAATGGAGCCTGGATTCTTCACTGCTCCTGGATGACATCATGATTAATTTCCTTATCTATTCACCAAGGCCACTCATAATAACCTCCCAGCCTTTCATCCTTCCCTAGGCTGATAAGAGTAGTGGTAGAGTAGTGGCCCTGACCCAACTCAAACTCATCTGGTTCAGCCTGTCCTCCCTCCCTCCCTCCCTCCGCCCTCCTTCCTCCCCAGGAACCCTGTTCCCTGTGCCTGTCTCCATCAGGAGGAGGCCTGTGCTACAGTAGTGGCCTGCTCATGTAACAATGGCAGACAGGGGCTGGGGCAGGGGTTAGGGTGTGGCCAATGCCATGGCAGGGGCGGGGGAGTGGAGTCCACCTGGCACAACCAAGAATCTGCAGGGTTTGTGGTTGAAGAGTGAAGTTTTCAAGATCCTCAAGAGTCCATAAACAAGGAAGCAGAGGAAGAGACCATCCAAGACAAAAGACAAAGGCTGACGCTGCAGCAGCTGACTTTCTAGGTCTCTCCTGAAATGCTCCCCCTGCTTCCCGCCACCTCCAAGGCAATGGTGGGAGCTGGCGGCCTGAGGGAGGCATGGGGTTCAGCATCTGGGGTCCTCCCTCTCTGGCTCTCAGGCTCCCTATTAGGCTGAGCTGCTCATGCCTGACCCCATGGTGTGTAAACTGCCACCTGCCAATAAATGTCCTCAGAGGGGCCAGCTACATGTGCTCTCTCACTATTTATTCCATACTTCTAAGGACCATGACTGAGGGAAGTGGGTCCTCATGGGAGGGGCCTGGGCTGCCCAAGCTCACACTCTGTGGTAAGGTGGTTCCCCGCTAAGTAGATGGGGTCACCTAGGCCGGCCCCTCTCCCAACCCCAACGCACCGAAGAGTCGGCATCCTCTGACCGCAGGTGGTCGGCAATGTAGTGTACGCCTTCCAGTGCCTTCTGCATGCGGGGTGACAGCAGCAGCTCACCCTCCTGCAGCACAGCCTCAGCCTTGGGACCTGAGGCTCCGGAGTGCAGGTGGCCGTGGCTGCAGAGGGTGCCCACAGAGGAGGCCACGTGACCTGCACACGCCCATCTGTCCTCCTCCTCCACCACCACCTCCCTCTCCTCGGCATCCATGTTGGTCTCCAGCCAATGATAAGAGGGGCTGAGTTTCAGGCCTGGGGGGTGGCAGAGCTCCAAGGATGGCAGGGGCCGGTTCATCAGAAGCCACCGGGGCACACAGCCCAGAAGGGCCCCCCGCACCCAGCGGGGCATGGTGTGGGTGCTGGGGGAGCGGTGGTGCACATTGAGCACGAAGACGGTGATGACGATGGACAGCGTGACGAAGATCATGGTGAACAGCAGGTACTCGCCGATGAGCGGGATGACCAGCGAGGTGGACGGGATGATCTCGGTGATGAGCAGCAGGAAGACGGTGAGCGACAGCAGCACCGAGATGCACAGCGTGATCTTCTCGCCGCAGTCAGAGGGCAGGTAGAAGACCAGCACGGTGAGGCAGGAGATGAGCAGACAGGGGATGATGAGATTGATGGTGTAGAAGAGTGGCAGCCGCCGGATGACAAAGGCGTAGGTGACATCAGGGTAGATCTCGGCACAGCAATCGTACTTCTTGCTGTTGTAGGTGCCCGTGGCATTGACAATGGCCCACTCGCCGCTCTCCCAGTAGTCCTTCAGGTCCACCGTCTGCTCCATCTGCTCCAGGTCGATCTTGGCCTTGTCATAAGTCCAGGAGCCGAACTTCATCTTGCAGTTCTGCTGGTCGAAGGGGAAGAAGGTGACGTCGATGCTGCAGGAGCTCTTGTAGATGGCCGGGGGCACCCAGTGCACAGTGCCCGTGGAGAAGAGGTGGGCCTTGGTCATGTGGGTCACTGCAAACTCCCCATCTGCACTGGGGAGAGGAGAGGAGCTGGGGAGACCCCTGCACACCCACCTGCCTGAGCCAAGCTACTCAGAGAGCTGGCAGCAGGGGAAACCCAAGAACCAAGTCAGACCCGGCCACCCTGGTGGGGTTTATTTATACAAGTGTGTAAGTCTCCCCCGGCACACACATTTATAGCCACTGAGCTGTCTTGTCAATTACTACCTTCTTAAATACAAAAGGAGGAATTGTGAGGAATAGAGTGAAGTACCAAGAATTCTAAAAACAACCACTAATAACATTTTGATGATAAATATGTGTATATAAAATGTAAAACGATTATATATACATTATTAATATATGACAATCATATATATTTGTGATCATGGGGTATATGCCATTTGATTGCCTATTTTTAGTCATTTAATATTTTATTTCATTTGCAGTAAGGAAAGAGTTGAATAGACACAAGGCCAGCCACACCACAGGGGAGATGGAGATAGCGTTCAAAGCATCTCTTCCAAACTTCGCAGGTTAGGGGTTTTTCAAAGGCAGTTTTGGGGAAGGGGGGTGTGGCCAGGTGCTTGCTGCTGATTGGCTGGGCAGAGATGATATTGCAGTGGGTCAAAGCTGTCCTCCTGTGCGCTGAACATTTAATATTTTAGAGTGATATCTATGAGTCTAGCAGATGATGAGTCAGCCCCTCAGGAGGGCGATCCCTTTCCACCTGGGATCATCGTTGCTCAGAAGAGACCTAACATCTTTGCGGGTGAAGATACTCCCTTGAATGTATCCATTTAACATGCGTTTTTGAGCCCCTCATCCACTAGGGCCGGTACCAGAGCTGTGCAGAAGAGGAATATGAGAAAGGTCCCTGCCCTTAAGGAGCCATGAGGAGATGAGACGTCTCCAGGAACCACTGCAACATCAGGGAGGCAGCTGGCAACACTAGGAGGGCAGTCTGGGTGCTCCTCGGGCCCTTTGGGGGAAATCTGGGAGGTGAGCAGGGTCATCGAGAACCCTGCCATTTGGGAAAGGCCTTGACTGATGGTAGCATTTGGCTGAGACATGGGCAGAGAGCTTTCCGGTAGAGGCTCGCACAGGGACAGAGAGTGTGAATCAGGGGTATTGTGGGACTAGGCATTCAAGGGCCCACAAGGAGTCTGGGGACACTGGAATAGTGGTGACCAGTCAGGCAGCACTTCCTGGAAGCCTCAGCCCCTGATTCCACCAGGAGGTGGCTCAGTGGACTCCTGCTCTAGTCTTTAACCATCCTCCCTCCCCCTCTAATTCCCACAGCCAATTCTAAAATCCAAGAAATCAGAAGAGTCCTTGGGAACAGGGGGCCTTATTCCCCCATGGAGTAGTTCCATGGTAGAGATATAGGCAGGCTGGAAATAGGAACTTTGTAAGAGAGTAACAAATACCTTGAGACAAAAGTTAAAAAAAAAAATTCTTTTTTGAGGCGGAGTCTCACTCTGTCATCAGGCTGGAGTGCAGGGGTGTGATCTCGGCTCACGGCAACCTCCATCTCTCGGGTTCAAGCGATTCTCCTGCCTCAGCCTCCCGAGTAGCTGGGACTACAGGTACACACCACCATGCCCGGCTAATTTTTGTATTTTTAGTAGAGGCAGGGTTTCACCATGTTAGCCAGGATGGTCTCAGTCTCTTGACCTCGTAATCCGCCCGCCTCGGCCTCGAAAGTACTGGGATTAGTACTGGGTGAGCCACCGCGCCCAGGCAAAAACAAAATTGTTTTAAAGCATTGTGTCACACACAATGACCACTAGATGGCAACATGTGCTCATTTGGGGGAAGGAACCTGGCAAACTCTTTGACGCCTTCCTGTTAACCTTGAGTGGGGTATCTGGGTGGAGGGGAGCCTTTTCTAAATGTCAGCAGGACTTTGGCTTGGAATTTTGTACCCCCCAAAAAAAATTTCTTGTAATTAATCAAGTAACACTAGCTGAAGTCTTATTGGGTAATCCTCAAACTCAAAGTCATAGTTGATGTAGGACTTTGCTCCTGACCTCTGCCACCCCTAAAGAAAACAGAAACCAGAGGATCCTGGGTGCCAGCTATGGGGCACAGAGATATGACAGGGTGGGGAGTTCGTGAGTCCCGCAGCAGCTACAAACACTAGGCACCTGAGATGTGAGAGCTGCCAGTGTGAGAACTCAGGATGAACACGTGTTCACCAAAGTGACTTAGGTGAAAGGGCTTAGTTCTGACCAGAACTGGACAGTGTAAAAAAACCATCTGACCCATCTGAAGACAAACAATCCAGAAATGGGTCATTTTTCCTTTTATTTCTTTCTTTAAAAATAGCATTTCCAAAGTAGGATCAAATGAATTGGGAAATGCTGGGCTGGGTGGATGTCTTTGCTGCAGGACTTCTAATAACATTTTTAAAACGCTATTGTGCTCTGCCATTTTCCAAAAGACTTGGGTGGGGATGGGGGTGGGTGTTACATGCAATGTTATCCAAAATTACTTGACCACAGAACCCTTTTTCATACCTATTTATAACTCAAAGAAGCCATGCTCTATAGCCCCACCTTAGAAAACATTTTTAGATGAACGTAACACCAAACATCTTTTCATTTTAACTTCTTAACTTCTAAGGGAAGAATTGCCTGATACCAAATACAGAAATGAAATTATAGATGTCTATTTATTCCATCAAAATATTTTTTGTTGATTTTTCTTTTGTCCACTGGGGCTCTCTTTAGACTCCTCTGCCTTCAATTAACTTCTTGACATTGCGGTCAAAGATTACTCCTTTTTAGTCTTGAAGACAACTACAAAATAACGTGATTGGGAAAAAGGAAACTGCACGCCAAGGAAGTGCATGGCCTTTGAAGGTGTTGGCCGATGCTGCCTGCCTGTCTGACCAACACTGCCACCCCTCACAACTTCAACCCCAAGGCATTGTTTTTAGAGCCTGCACCACATTTCTCAAAGAATACTCCGTATTGACAAATCTCTGTTCCTCTAGCACAGTGCCAGGCATCGATACCTAACAGGTGCTCATCTGCCATTCATTTTGGTGTAGAGTGAGAACAAAAGAAAAGAAATGAAAGAATAAAGAGAGAGGTGGGGGAGACATGCTCAGCAAAGCAGTCGAGAAGGAGGCGAGGAAGCTGACACCAGGGGTGCCCCTCCCAAGGCCATGGACCCGGCCCCTGCCAGTTGGCCTCCCCTCATCCCCCCAGGACCCCAGTGGCTTCCTACTTGTTGTAGAGGACAATGTCGGGGATCCAGATCATCTCAGAAGGGACCCGGAGAGATGTGATATTGCCGAAATCGGCGGGGTTCCAGCGCAGTTTGTAGTCGCTCCACTCCTGTGCGTGGGGAGGAAGTTGTGTCAACCTCGCTTTCAGGGAGCAGCCTAGGGCAAAGCTAGCACACCCCAGGGATGCCCAGAATTGGGCCAAGCAGCCCCCTTGGAGCAGCCAGGGCTCCCCACCCAGCCCAGAATAGTGGAGGGAGCTGCGGTGCTGGGAACGGGCTCTTAGCGAGTAACCAACCTTCTCGCTTTGCCTGGACTTTAGTAGTCAAGGTCCTGGGCACATGAAGTTCACCCTTGTCCTGCCTCTAGTCCTCGTTCTGCCAATCCCTGGCTGGATGACCTTGGTGGGCCACCTCACTCATCTCTAGTGAAGTCTCTCATTTTTAGTGCATCACAGTTTATGGTTTGTTTTATACTCTCCATCTAGCAAAAGCCTCCATGGGGCAGCTAAGCAGGGAATGCAGAGCAAGTGAAAGCACCTCCCCCATTTAGCAGATGAGCAAACTGAGGACCAGAGACAGGAAAATCAACCTGCCAGAGGCATACAGTGAGGCAGGGGAGTTACCCTGGGACCTTCCAACTGCACTCCCAAGTGCCCCACAGGAGTTCCACCAGAGATGGGATCGGAGCCCTGCCTCCAAGGCCTCCACCAAGGCAGGTCCAAGTCAGTCCCCCTGCCTCCATCAGGTTCGTATTCTCTCTGTATTCCATCTGTCAAGTTTTCAGGTCCAACCAACATTTTGAGGCACCCACACCAAATTGGGGTACATTAATCCTCCCAGGCATGTGGTAGTAGACTGCGTTATCCTCATTTTGCAGATGAGGAAACTGAGGCTCTGAGGGGTTACGTAGCTCACCCAGTATCACAAGCTAATCAGAGGCATTGCTGACTGGCCTGACTCATACTCCAGTACTCCTTCCTTGCCCTGCCACCCCAACCCTGAAACCCAGGTGACCAGCCCATGGGGACAATTGGGTCAACCCAAGTTCTAGTCTTGCCTCCCTGCACACACACACACCACATGACTGGGTAGCTTCCAAGTTCCTGCTTCCCTCTGGCCCTCAGTTGTCACATCCGTAAAGATGAGCCAAGTGACCCCTAACAGCTCCTGGATTATGGCATCAGAGGGAGGGAAGATTCCGACCTGAGCGGGATCTGTGCGTCCTTTCCTGAGTCTAACTGGGTTCTATGACTGTCTTGACCAGTAGTATACAACAAGATCAATGCTGGCCCAGTTTCTTTTACTCCCTGTCTCTTGGGACCCTCACTCTGGATTCCCTGAACCACTAGGCAAGAAATCTGACTCCCCTGCTGGAGAGACCCTGAGGGTGCCTGAAGGGGACGAGGGGCCCATCTGAGTCCAGCCTTCCAGCACCTTCCAGAGCCTTCCGGACATCCCCGCTAAGGGACATATGTGTGAATTAAGCTGTCTTAGACCCTCCAGACCAGATGAACCCTCACTCAAATACCACCAAGTAACCCTAGTGGTCACCATGTGAAGCAGAAGAAACCACCCAAACTCCTGGCCATAAAGCCATAAGATACAGTGAGCTAGGAGCTGCTGTAAGCCTGTAAGTTTGGGGGTATTTGGGTGGCAGCATAGACATTAAGCACTCAGCGTTCTCTCGTAGGAGCCTGGGGATCGGAGTCAGGCACAGCTGGGCCCCCTTTTCCAGGCCAGCTGCTCTCTGCTTCCTGCTCTCCTGAGCTGTAAAATGGACAGAATGAACCCCTCCTCGGGCTTTGGGGAGGATTCCGAAGTAGCAGGGATGAATGGATGCCTGCTCCCAGGAGAGCACCACGTGGCTTTCTAGTGCCTGAGGCAACCTTCTCAGGCACTAGACTCAAGTCTAGCCACCAAGAACACAGGCCCTGTGGAAAAAGTCAGCTTTGGGAACATCCCATGTGGCATCTGCTTGGTAAACTAAGTTCAGGGTCTTGCTGTCCCTTGGTCTTTCACTAGCGAAGAAGTCCTAGGGGGGTCTGGGGTCCATGGATTCCCAGTAGGCTCCTGCCTGGACGGGAGGAGGGGCCCTCACCTGTTTTAGCCAGACGTTGGTGGTCATCATTTGGTTCTTCTCATCCTGGCCCAGAGACAGACAGGAGCAATTAGAGGGGTTGGCCCAGTCCCAGAAGACAGGGTGGAGTGGGATGGGCTGTTTCAGACCCTCTGATAGGACACTCCAAGCCCATCCCGCCCACCATCCGCTCTGAAACCCCACCCTGACTCAGATTCTCCAGGATCGCACAGGCACTGCTGCCAATCAATGCCCTCCTAGGAGGGAGCTCCAGAGCTGGGAGAGGGAAGGGTGTAGCAGCCCCGGGAAGAGCCGTCCCCGCCGCCACCCCAGGTCACTGCGGTGCGTGAGGGCTGGGCCGGGGTAGAGGAAGGGGGAGGGGGGCGGGAAGAGGTTGGGGGTGGCGGGAAGTGGTGGGTGGTCTGGGATCTCCTTCCCCGGGGCCAGGGGTGGGAGGACAGGCGCACCACGTCGATGAGCTGAGCGATGGACAGTCCGAAGCGCACAATCACCACGTCTGAAGTGTTGGGCACCGGGCGCGCCCAGCGGTTGTAGCCCCGGAAGAGGTGTTTGAAGAGCCGGTCCTCAGCCTGGGTATGGGATCCTCCCTGCGGCAACGCCGTGGGACTGGGAGAGGAGAGGGGGTCTCCAGGAGCCCTGGGAGGTAGGCGCTTGGCTTCCTCTCCACCTGCTATCAAATCAGAGCCACTCAGCCTCATTGAGCCTCAGTTTGCTCATCTGTAAAATGGGGATACTTATCCAGAACCTATCTCAAAACACCGTTGAAGATGGCAGATGATAATGTCTATCAGAGCTGAGCACAGCATGATAGGCTGTGGGGTCGTGGGAGCTCAGGAAAGGTCAACTGCTTTGTGATGTTGGAGAAGAAAGGAGTGGGAACTAGTGCTGCAGGGGTCGAGGGGAAGGGGCAGAGGCAGGGAAGTAGGGAAACCTGAATCTACAGACAAGATTCAGCCCCATATGGAGGAGCCCCTGCGGGGACAGGGAAGTGAAAGAGATGCCTGGTCTAAGTCGGGGGCTGCAGGGAGAAGGGCTCCGGCATTGCAGTGAGCCTGGCCAGGGTCAGCGGTCTCCCGTTCCCACCCGCTTGTTGGATGAACCATTAATGCTAACAGGGAAATAGACCGCTTTGGGATCCTCCCCAATTTTTTCTTAAACCGTGGGCATGTGCCACTTCCTATCAGATAAACAAAGCTTTTCAAAATGTTTCTATGACATCACTCGTGTCAGTTTTCACTGTGTTCAGCAAACAGCTTCACCCCTTCAGGGCTCTGCTGTCCAAGCAAGTCGAGAACTACAGCTCCAAATCCCAGAAAAACGTGTCAGCACCATCTGGGACAGAAAGCGCTGCATCCCGAGTGCCTCCTGTATCCCGGATTCTGGTCACAAACTTTCGTTTAATCCTCACAATAGGCCTGGGAGGTACACAATACTATTTGCATTTTGCAGCTGAGGACATTGAAGCTTGGGGACATTTAAGGTGACACAGATGCTAACGTCAGAGCTGTGACCGCCCCTCCACCTCTCCCAGTGGAACCAGCCACCCGGCTGATGGCCTCTGAAGTCCCCTGCAGCTTTGATGGTTGCAACGAGTCCACCTGCAGACTCCTTCCTACAGTTTGTGAGCCAACAGGCGTGAGATGAAGTCTTACAATGACGGGTGACAAGCACTCACCTGCTGGGGTCAGAAGGAGCCACCACAGACTGAGCTTTGTGAAGGACAGGAACGCAGGACGGGAGGGGCCCATGGCTTCCCCTGAGCATCAGGAGGTCAGGTCAGGGCTTCACTGTGGGTTGCACCTCAGACCATGTCCCCAGCAGAGCTGCTGCTGGATTCTGCGAGGCTTCCTCTCACCACCAAACCTGAGCAAGCCCAAGAAAGGGCTCTTAGGGTCGTGTATCCTTGACACAGGCATATTTCTGTTTCTCACGTTCTACACAGGCATGAAATGTGAGCAAAAGGCCCTCAGCAGGCTTCTCAGCAGTTAAGCGCTCCTGGGCTCTCCCTGGCTTATTGAGGAATCAGCCTCTTCCTCTTTCTCCAGTCAGCCAGCGACTCTGCCCTAAGACCAGCCCTGACCTGCTGGACAAAGGAGGGCACAGGATGGGACCCAGGTCCCCATTGCTTTGCCTCAGTGGTCATCTGTAAAATGGGGATAATCATACTGCAAAGAGTGATCAATAAAAGAATCAGGGTACTATTCACAAGATCCAAAGGGCGGAAACAGCCTTTTGTCCAAACAAATGTCCATTAGCTGATGAATGGATGGACAAAAGGCAGTAAATCCTTACAACGGAACATGATTCCACCATAAAAAGGACTGAGGTGCTGACACTTGCTACACCATGGAGGAACCTAGAAAGCATTCTGCAAAGTACCAGAAGCCAGTGGTAAAAAGCCACGTACTGAAGATGATATGTAAAATATGTATTTGGTCTTCAATCCTATTTCCTGGAATACAACTCCTAAGATACTTGGAATCTGCAAAATGATGTCTTTTTGCATGACCGGTGGCTGGCAGCCCCTAGGCAGCTGCAAGATGGGGCTGGTCACAGGAAGACAAAGGCAGGCTTTATAGGGTTAGGACTTTCAGCCCCGCCCCTCAAACCTCCAGGGACAGGAGAGGAGCTAAAGGTTAAGCTGATCGCCAATGACCACTGGATTAATCAATCATGCTGCATGATGAAGCCTCCATAGAAACCTGAAAGAACAGGTTTTAAAGAGTTTCTAAGTAGCAGAACATTGGAGGTTCCTGAGGGGTGATGAGCCCAGGGAGGGTATGGAAGCTCTGTGCCCCTTGCCAAACCTTGCTGTATGCATCTTGTCACCTGCATCTTACACTATCTCTTATAAACTAGTAAACCAGTGTTTCCCTGAGTTCTGTGAGCCATTCTAGCAAGTTAGTCGAACCCAAGGAGGGGGTCATGGGAACCCCAATTTATAGCCAGTGGGTTGGAAGCACAGGTAAAATAACCCAGGACTTGTGATCGGCATTGACATTGGGGGGCAGTGTTGGGAACTGAGCCCTCGACGTGTGGGATCTGAGCTGTCTCCAGGTGGATGGTGTCTGAATTGAATTAGAAGGCACCCAGCTGATCTCTGCTGCAGAACTGACTGCTTGCTTGTGGGTGGGGAGAAGTCACAGAAGTTTTCCGTGTTGATTGTTGTGGAGTGAGAGCAGAGAAAAACAGTTTGTGGTTTTTCCTACACATTGTATGATCCCATTGATATGGAATATGTAGAACAGGCAAATCTATAGAGACAGACGTAGATTAGTGGTTGTGGGGTGGCAGGAGGGAGGGATGGGAAGTGACTGCTTAATGATCACTGGGTTTCCCTTAGAGGGGATAAGAGAGCTCTGGAACTAGATGGTGTGGTGTTGCACAGATGTGTGAATATACTAAAATTCACCAAATTGCACACTTTAAATGGGTGAATTTTATGGTATTTTAATTATATCTCAAAAAAACTTATTAAAAAATAAACAAACACCTCGTGGATTAAGAAGCAGCAGCTAGGCCGGCGCGCAGTGGCTTACGCCTGTAATCGCAGCACTTTGGGAGGCCGAGGCAGGTGGATCACGAGGTCAGGAGATCGAGACCATCCTGGTTAACATGGTGAAACCCTGTCTCCACTAAAAATACAAAAAAAATAGCCGGGCGTAATGGCGGGCGCCTGTAGTCCCAGCTACTTGGCAGGCTGAGGCAGGAAAACGGCGTGAACCCGGGAGCGGAGCTTGCAGTGAACCGAGACCGTGCCACTGCACTCCAGCCTGGGTGACAGAGCAACACTCCATCTCAAAAAAAAAAAAAAAAAAAAAAAAAGCAGCAGCAGCTACCTCTCTTGCCTGTGGTGACAATGATATTTGCCAAACATGAAGAATCAATACACAAAGGGTTCTAGTGACCAGAAGGACACGGATGTCAAAGATCGGGGTAAACATAATGTTTCATGTGAAATGAGTGTTTCATAATTGGGAAAGTCGGGAAAAGCAGTATTTTAAAATATTATTTTATATAGTGTGTGATTTAAATCATATATATATATCACTAAAATAACATTATTGCCTTACAAGCTTACACATTCAAATTAGCATTTTTTGAAACAGCCCCCCATGGGGAGAAGAGCGAGGCCTTGTGTTCAGGGACACATCGTGTGTGCGGTCTAGGGAGATAACAATGGCTCTTGGTACAACTAGTGAGTGCAGGATTTCCTTTGGGAGGGTGAGAATGTTCTGGAACTAGATAGTGCTGATGGTTGCACACTGTTCCAATTGTACTGAATGCCAATAATGATCAATTTTATGTTATGTGTACTGAATCACAACTTTAAAAAAAGAATAAGGGTAAAAGTGGCTTTAAAAATATAAACCAAGGACTGGGCACAGTAGCTCATGCCTGTAATTCCAGCTCTTTTGGAGCAAGACAGAAGGAGTGTTTGAGCTCAGCAGTTCAAAACCAGCCTGGGCAACATAGTGAGATCCCCCGTCTCTGCAAAAAAAATTAAAAATTAGCTGGGCATAGTGGCGTGTGTCTATGATCTCAGCTACTGGGGAGGCTAAAAAGGGAGGGTCGCGTGAGCCTGGGAAAATCAAGGCTGCAATGAGCTATGATCATGCCACTGCACTCCAGCCTGGGCAACAGAGCAAAATCCCATCTCAAAAAGAAAGTAAAAATCAAAGTAAACCACCAGGTATGAGAGAATCAGAATTATTATTCATGGAGTTGTGAAACCACTTTTATCTGGTCATTCTCATCCTCCCACCCACCCTGACCCAGCCTCTCAACAGTGTTTCTGGTGCCACTAATCCTCCATCTCTCCCAGGGCCTGTTGCACCAACCCATCCTACCCTCCTGGCAGGAGATGAGAGCAGGGCTGGTGCTGGCAAACGTGGCTTCGAGTCCTGGCCCCACCACTGGCTGGTGGTGATCTGTGAAAGGTCACTCAATCCCCCTGGGATTTTGTCTTAAGATAAAGATCGAACACTTTCTGCCCTGTGGGAGGAGTGACGGGAGCAAACGGGGTCATTTGTGTCCATGAAAGTCACTGGGGAACTGCAGAGGGCTGATCAGGGAACAGGTTGCTCTTGTGGTTGTCAGGGCCCATGATCCAGTGGCATCGCACAATGACAGTTTGTGTCAAGTAGGAGAAGAGGAATGTGGGAAGGATTTCATGTGTTGGAATTGCTGTCGTATACTGACTATAGCACAGACACCAGAGTGTTTGGGGGGAAAAGGGCCCTCCTGCATCAATTTCCCCAGAAGGTTTCAATTCAAAGACTTGTTGGAAATAGAGGATTACATTTTTCTTCTGTTCCCTTGGGAGAATATTGCCCCTGTCCACCCGCTGCCCTTATCTTCCGTGCCACCCTACACCCCACCCTGCCCTGGGATTCCTCACTTTGTCCCAGTCTTAGAGGTTCCTGGTTCCTACCTGGCTCTGAAAATCCCCAGCTGGCAAGTGGAAAAGGCTGGTGGTTCCCAGCATATGGAATAAGCTGCCCGAGAGAGCCTCCCAAAGCTCTCCCAGAACGGTGCCTCCGTGGGGAAGAAGCAGGGAGTCCTGGCAGTGGGAAGTTTCTCCACAGATAGGCCTGATATACACAGCCCCACAAGAGCTCTCATTCAGGAGTGCAGCTTTATATAATGTTTAAACTCACATCGCCCTGCAAATTATGCAGAATGCTTGTACAGCACCCACCCCAGCCTGGGCATCAGCAGCTTCTGTGGCTCGGGTGAACCGCAGTGGCAGGGTCTGGGATCTCTGGCCCTCGAAGGTGCAGGGGCTTGTCCCCAAGGGACTTCCCCCAAGCAGACCACTGCAAAGGAAACAGCACAGCTACCTGATTACCAGAGAGGGCTAGCATTACCATCTTGCTCTTTTCTCTTTTAATCTCTTTTCTACATATAAATAGATCACCTGTGTTATCTCTGGGCACAGGAATTAGAGGCGAATATTATTCTTTTTGACAGTTTTCTGCATTTTCCAAATTTCCCACTATCAGCATGTATCGGTTACTTAATATCAGAATAATTTTCAAGTGGACAGCAATACCTGTGGTGTGTTTTACGCACCCTCCCCTCATCTCACAGCAGCAGGAGCTCACCCAAACTCTGTAGATTTGACTCCACTCTTCCGTCAGAATGCAGTGCAGTTCATCAATCAGCTGTGTAAAAAGTGGAAGCAACTCCGGTATCCAGCGACAGATGAATGGTTAAACAAATGTGGTCTATCCATACAATGGAATATTATTTATCCTCAAAAAGGACAGAAATTCTGATCTATGCTACAACACGGATGAACCTTGAGGACATTATGCTAAGTAAAATAAGCCAGTTACAAAAAGACAAAGACATTGTGATTCTGTTTATAGGAGGTTCCTAGAATAGTCAAATTCATAGAGACAGAAAGTAGCATGGGGGGGTGCCAGGAGCTAGGGCGAGGGGAGTGAGGGGCTGTTGTTCAATGGGTGCAGAATTTCAGTTTGGGATGATGAAAAAATCTGCAGATGGGCAGTGGTGATGTCTGCACAACAATGTGAATGTTCTTAACACGATGAAGTATATACACTTAATAATGGTTACACTGGTAAATTATGTTACGCATATTTTACCACAATAATAATTTTTTTAAAAGTCAGCTGTGTTCATCTGGAATCACCTTAGGGCTGAGGCCCGGGAAATGGGATTGCCACATTGATCTCAAAGGTTAAATGGGGGCTTTCAGAGAAAAGTGGAACTTCCTGTCGTGAGGTCGCTCCTTAAGGGTGACCACTGTATCTTATTCACCTCTTCCCTCCAGCCCCAAGCAAAGCCCCAGCCCACTTTGTGGGTTCCACGTATTCAGAGCCACCTGCAAAAGGTACCCAGGGCAGGAGGAGGGCTCGAGAGCCTGAAGAAGGAGACCAAGGCTTGTCACTTAATTTGGGGAGCAGCACGGCGTCAAACATTTGCACTCATAGTGTGATTGTTGACTCTTTTCTTTGTTTATCTTTCCACTACCTCATTCATTTTGTGATGTTGTTGTTGTTTCATGCTTGGACTGTAAGAGAATGTACTGCCTCATTCTTCATCAGGGCCAACAGTGTGCCAGGCACCAGGGACAGGGAACTGAGTGAACTTGAATAGAGAAGAACCAAAAGGAAGGAAAATGCTAGAGTCTCATCCACTCATCCACCCCTAATGTGGGGCATGATTTTATTCATTTAGCCCCATTGCTTCCAAAGCCATCCAGGGAGGTCCCAAGTTCCCCAAGGCATCCTTTCCAGGCTTTTTACAACTCTCCACATTGGGAAGCTCTTCCCGGAGTCTGAATCTGCATCAGCGTCTGAGAGATGCTTGAGTTGGGTTGACTTGAGTTTAGAGACCCTAGTGTTGTCATCAGAGATTAAATTTCGTTAATACCCAGGGGAAACTGCAGAGGAGGTGAGGTTTTTTCTCTGCTCTCCACAATCATTCAAACACCTGATAATCACAAAGCTGCCATTCTGGTTCCTTGTCTCTTGTCTCTTTCATCCTTTCTACCCTGGAGGATTTAAGATCCTCAAAGATCTCATGCCCATTTACATGTGACTCAGTGCCATCTAGAAGTTTCATTTGCTAGTTAAAATAAAGAAGAGTTGTGAAATTCCATGGCTTATGTCTACTTTCATACAGGCATAAAGTTTTTGCTAGATATTAGAACACAGGGCTGATTTGGTGCAGGGAATGAGGATTTCAGAATCCCCCCTGATGTTAATTCCTAAAAGGTCTTCCTAAGAACACCATGCATTTATGTTTTTTTCAGATTTACAAAGTACTTTTGCAGCTTTGACCTATTTGGGCCTCACATGACCCCTAGGAGGGTGTGGGGAAGAGATATTATTATCTCTTTCATGTAAGTTAAAAAGAAAAAAACTGATATTCAGAGAAGTTGACCAAAGCCACATAGATAAAAAGTGATGAAGCTGAGATTCAAGCTAAGATCTTTAGCTTCGAAACTAGAATGTGATAAATTATAATGTGGTGTTAACTAGGGGGGCAATTTCATATAAGCAACTCAGCCAGTACTCACCTGTGTTCTGTAGACCCTAGCACTGTGTCTGTCATTGTTAAGCCGCCATCAGGACTGAGGTCTGTTGAGGACAAGTGAGGAGAGGGAACAGGCACCTCACCCCAAAGCTAGGTCCACCTGGATCCCAGATTCTAGGAGGTTCCTCTAGTGCAGATTCACTTTCTTATCCAGCCAATCAATATCGTTGCAAATTCCAAAGCTATCATGTGTTTCACCTTTTAACCAAGTGCATTTTTTTAAAAGGAGATTTTTTTTCTCCATTAGTGAGGATAGGAATCCAGGCATACTAAAATTGCATCATGTAGAGATCCAAGGAGAGCCACCCTGGACCCCCCAGAAGAATGTGCAAATAAGATGCGGTGACTCTAGAGGATGTATTCCCAGCAAGATGCCTCAAATCTGCACCCCCTGTGATGAGCCCACTATATCATTTCATTTAACTTATCACTGGAAACCAAAGGAGGAATTGTTCCAGGTGATTGACAGTAATTAGAGGGAACTTCCACCTCTGGTTAGGAAGATGTCAAAAGAAAAAGAGCTGCACACTTTGACCCTCTAAGTGGCTGGATTGGCAGATTTGGGGAAGAGGAGAGAATGGAATGAGGTCCCTGGTTGTAAAGTGGGTCTAGGTGAATGGGGTGTACAGAGAAGCCTATGTAAAAGAGATTGCATATGTAAAGTGCTCGGACATCAGTGTCCCCATTGGGCTTGTGTCGCTGCTCATGTACACCAGTGCCAGCCACCCCCACCCCACCCCCACACTCACTGCAGCATCTCTAGCCTGCTTGAAACCTGGTTCTATGGAAGTCAAGGTGATTTGAGCTCACTTCCCTGCCCATGATTCTACTACTGCTGTTTTCAACTTCCCACCCACCAGCCCACATTCTCCTCTTTTTACTAATACTTCCTTCTCCCGAAAGGCTGCTTCCATCCCATCTGGTTCCTTTCTACCGTCCAGAACCTCCCCAAGCATACGGGTCTCAGCTTTTTCACAACTGGCAACACTACACTCCCAAAGAAGCCCCTCCATTAGAGAAACTGGTACTGTTTCTTCTTCCCAATAAATTCACTAGAGGTGCTTAGGGGCTAGAGGGTATATTTCTAGCTTTTATATCTGCTTTGCTCAATCACAGAAGTTTAACATCTCAAGGTTGGGTGGGATCTGGAAGGTCATCTGAACTACCACACCAGCTGATGGAGGAATCCACTTCACAAACGCCAGCCTTGGAACAAGCCCAGCTGTAAAGAACTTGAAGAACCTTGGAAGGTATTTGCCTTCTAAGTGAGTAAATAGCATTGGTGTCTTTTAGCCCTTTTAAAGCACATAGACAATTTACTGAATGAATAAATAAATGAACAAAAGAACAGACAGCAGTAATAAAGACATAGGAGCAGATACAGTATAATAAAGCCACTATTCCTGAGACTGGGCTAGCCATCCTAGCCAGGAGGTGTTCATCGTCACCTGGCTGTGGACAGCCTCAGCAGGGACAACCAGGAGACTAAAATATTTCTAGGAGCAGGTGACATCCAGCATTCCGACATAAGTACCCAGAAACTGCTACCCAGAAACTGCTAGTATTTCTCCTGAGTACCCAGAAACTGCTAGTATTTCTTTGACCCCACATCCACAATCTCTCCACATGCATGCCACCCGCAACATAAGCCTTGGGCACCTTTCTTACCTGTGGTTACAGAAGAAGACAGGTCATTCAAAGGATGCAGAGAACCAGCCTGGCTTGGACATTCTGGGCAGCTGACAAAGTCACCCCAGAAATAGAGTGGCAGGTACAGAATAGAGCTCAGTCACTTCATTTCATGGTCAAACAGAGGCTGAAGAGTGAGGGTTTAGAGACACCCCGTCGAGCGGAGGACTTACGTGAGAGGCAGCTGGCTTCCCAGGGACGGCTGGGCAAGCTCTGCAGAGAGGTGGGTTTTCCTGGGGCTGTCCAGCTCTGGCAGCCAGAGCAGCTTCATGCAGGCACCACTGACAGCCCAGGCAGCCCAGCACAAGCGATTCAGCAGGTGAAACGCAAGCCTGGCCCCAGGAGGGGATGAGGGCTCAGCACTCAGCACACAAGCACACAGGCTCACGCCGCTCTCTCTGTCACACACACACACACACACACACACACACACACACACACAGCCTCTCTGGAGGGGAAGGAGGAGGAGCCTGTGACTTTCCAGCCTGTGTCTGGTGGGGACAGTGGCAGCTCTGCCCTCCCTCTGTCCAGTCACCACGACGCTCCCTTCCCTGCTCTCTGGACCCCTAGAGACAGCCTGCTAAGGAAGAGAGAGGAGCAGCTGGGCCAAAGACTGCTGATAGATCAGGTGCCACGAGGACTTCCATTGTCCTGTGGATTTAGCCATGTAGAGTTTTTTGGGGGATGTTGGCAAGACGACTTTCAGCAAGGAGTAAAGACAAAAGTATGATTTCAATGAGTTCAGGGGCGAATGGGCCAAGAAGGCTAAGTGATAAAAAGTAGAAACAATTCTCTCACAGACTTTCCCTTTAAAAGAGAGAAATATGAGGGTAACTGGAGGGAAATGTGGGCTCAATATGTTATTGAGTCAGGATCACTGCCTGGGGCCCCTGAATGCAAACACAGGTTCTGGGTCCTGGGTCCTGGGTCTGTCTGTCAATATAGCAGTAGAGTTTTGAAATGAGGAATCCACTTCACAAATTCCAGCCTTGGAACAAGCCCAGCTGTAAAGAACTTGAAGAACCTCGGAAAGTATTTACCTGCTAAGTCAGTAAATAGCATCGGAAAAATTGGAGTAAGGACAGAGCTGCTGGCCAGTCAGCCCACGGTTCTCTCCTTGCCCTCCTCCCCTGTGAGACCCCTCCCCCCACCAGCCTAGAGGACCACCAGTCACTCGCGTGGCCACCCAGTGTGGCTGCTTCCCTCTCACCCCCTCAGCCTCCTTGCAGGTGACCTTGCCTTTGATTTTCCGGAGAAGTCTCCTTTTCTCCAGCATCAGATCGGGACTCCTGTCTCCTCCTGTGCATGGCGAATCCTGGCCCGCTGTGATCTTGACATCACCCCATCTATTAACAGCCCGGGTTTTCTCAGACCCTCCCTCTCCTCCCCACTTGTTCATTCCCTTCAGAACCTAACTAAGCTTATCCCCAATCCTAAAAACGCTATTTGGTTTCGGCTTTTCCCTCAAGTTACTTGCTAGCTCTTCTCCCTTATTTTGTTAAAAGCAAAGGCCCTGGACCTGCCCCGGCCATGAACTGCTGTGAATGATTCTTTTTTTTTTTTTTTTTGAGACGGATCTTGCCTGAGTCGTGGCTGGTCTCTACTGCTGGTTAGTTCTCCTGTATACTGTGCGCATTTTTTTTTTTTTTTTTTTTTTTTTTTTTTTTTTTTTTGCTGAGATTGAATTTCTAGCTCTGCTCTTAAACAGCTGCATAATCCTGGACAGGCCTCTTCAGCCTCCTATGCCTCAGTTTCCTCAGATGTAAAAAGAAGATGTGAACAATGGCTCCCGCCTCATAGGTTCACTATGAGGAGTCAATTAGCACAAATAAACACAAACACACACATGCATTGTGTGTACACATGTGCATGCGATTGTTAGCATCATCTTTTGAGACAATTAAAAGACATAAAATACCAAAAAAACATAAACACTCATATTTCCACTATTCATAATTAATAAATGTTAATATTTCACCATATTTACATATATAAAGTTAGATGTATACATTTTCCATCTGGAGACTGGAAGAAGGAAGGAGGGAAAGAAAGGAAGCAAGGAAGGAAGGAGGGAGGAAGGGAGGGAGGGAGGGAGGGAGGAAGAAAGGAGGGAAGGGAGGGAGGGAAGAAAAGAAAAGAAAAAAGAAAAGAAAAGAAAATCACAGATCGTATCCATCAGGATTCTTGGTTGCAAGCAATAAAACCTACCAATTACTTTAAGTGGAGAATGGTTTTATTGAGGGAAAACGGGTGGTCCACAGAAGCACCTAGAAAGCTGGAGGGGCTGCTTGGAGAGCAGGAAGAAGAGGGAAGCCTTTGCCCCCCGGCCAGCGTGGTGGGTCCTGCTGCTACAGAGCTGCATGAGAACCTGGCATCATCACGGGTGCCGCTGTCACCGCTGTCCCTGGAAGCAGCCGTCCCTGCTGCTGCCGCTGCTGCCACAGTTAATTCTCCTCCAGCCCTGCTCCTTTGTGTCACTAGCTCTGCATACAAAAGTTAAAACAGATGCATCTGATTAAAGCATGTGCTCCCAAACCAGATGCCAGGAAGGCCAAGGAAGCAGGAATCTGGGGTTTTGAGCTTCTATGTGGAAGGTGGGCTCTGCCCACTTCAAGAGGGGGGACATTCCTGAAATATTTGAAAGTTGTTTCAATGCTGGAAAGCCCCCCTCCCCGACACCCGAAATCTAGCTCTTTGGCTCCTAATATCAGTGCACACTCAACTTTCCATCATCACACCTTGAAAAAAATTGTTTAATCAGGTGTGGTAAGATTTGCAGACACATAAGTGACTGTCATAAAGGAAGAAGTTTATACTGACAGATCCCTAGAAACAGGAGGGGTGGCACATCCCCGCAGGGTCACACAGAGCAGCACCAGGGAATGTCAGGAGGTGGAGGGCACAATGCGGGAAGCCTGGCCCCCAGCCTTCATGAGGTTTCCCGGGAAAGCCAGGGCAGTGCAAGGAAGCAGCTTGCGATGAGATGGTTTGAATAATCTTGGTGGGCTCTGGGCTATAGGGGTGGTCTGTGATTGCCCAGTACCTGGCTCTGAGGTGATTTGGGGCAGGAGGAATATTGGCTCAGTGTGTGAGAGTTAGACAAACAGGGTTGTTGGAGATACTGAGTCAAGATTAGGCAGAGGGCTTGTACTGTAACTTTAGTGCACCTGCAAAAGCTGGTTGCACGGGAGATATAAACAATGCTGGCTGTTAGTTTGGCTCTGCACATAGTGGATGCCAAACAGACAAATACAGAACCTAACAGAATGTAACCATTCCTCACACAAGCAAAAAGGCTCCCCCTAACCCCACCCTAATTCCACAGGGATAGAATCCCAAGTCTCACCAGTGACCATCCAGCTCCAAGTCCAGCCTCCTGCTCTAATTCTATTCTTGCTCTAGTCCTGACACTGCAGCCATCTTGAAATCCTGTTTTCTATGGAGTAAATGATAACGTTCACCCAAAACACACACATAGAAAGTAATGGGGTGGGCAGAAAATGAAATAAATTGCAAAGTCAGTAAGAAAATACAGACAGGTACAGTGCTCATTGTAGTAATAGGTCATGAGGTTAGGGTCGGGATGTATTGCTTTCCCCTCCAGCCATTCTCCAGAATAAGCATCTACGGTATTCCATAAAAGCCAGATTGCTGTCTTCTCAAGCATGTAAGGCATTCACTACAATCAGCTTGCCACCAAGTGAATAATTTGAACCTCTGGGCTCTGCCAGCACATCTAGAAACCAGGGTTTGCCACTGCTGCTGGGAAAATGAGCATTCAGGCCGCATTGGGAACAGCTCCTGTAATCGGAATCACTTAAGTTTACAATGAACCAGTGACAGTCTGAGACCCATCTACCTAAGGTAGCATTTGGTGATCATCAAAATTACCACTTCTGCATCCTTACAGTGTTTGCTGGTGGCCCTAATTCTTGGGATTCTTCTGGAGATATTGTATTAATTGCATTTATGGTTTTGTCGGGTAGGAGGCACTACACAGCTTCCTCTTGCTTCCTCCTTCAGCAGATGGATGATAGACGTGTGCCATTGACAGGTATGGATTTGTGTTGCCGCCCAAATCTCATGTCAAATTGTAATGTTGGAGGTGGGGCGTGGTGGGAGGTGATTGGATCATGAGGGTGGATTTCTCTCTTGCTGTTCTCATGATAGTGAATGAGTTCTCACAAGATCTGGTGTTTAAAAGAGTGTTTAATCTCCCCCTTCTCTCTTATTCCTCCTGCTCTAGCAATGTGAAGACGTGCCTGCTTTCCCTTTGCTTTCTGCCATAACTGTAAGTTTCCTGAGGCCTCCCCAGCCATGCTTCCTGTACAGTCTGCAAACTGTGAGCCAATTAAGCCTCTTTTCTTTATAAATTACCCAGTCTCAGGTATTTACAGCAGTGTAAGGATGGACTAATATAGCCATGTACTGAGAAGTTTCCCTAACTCTAAGCTTGGGACCGAAGGTCCAAACCACTTCCTGCACTTTCCAGTAATTGAAATGATGGTTCTTCCTCACCAACGTACCTCTCAAGGTCTTGGAAAAAGAAGTCTCTGATGAGTCCTTCCATATCAGGAGGAAGGCGAGCAGATCATATATTAAGCAATCCATTCCAATATTCCTGTTCCTCAAAGTCTTCCATTACGTTGAACTAATTTCTGGTATCTCATCTTCACTTTGCATGGACTACCAGTTGAGCAAACTGTGAGTACTTCCTTCAGCTGTTTGACTTTATAGACTAAACCCAAATCTTAAGAAAGCACACCCTACTTGAAGTTAGCCAAACTCTACTTCAACTTTCTGTCCTTGGTCTAGGACCTTAAGAGTCCATTCCTGTGTATGTTCACCAGATTGTGACCACAAACAAGCAGCACCTTTCAGACTTGGGGTGTGTTTTATGTTTCTTATCAGGTTTTCCCATGCCCCACCTGCCAGGACATGTGGGGATCTGACTCTAGTTCAAGTCCGGAGGCAGGGAGGGGTGAACCATGAAGAAAATGGGTTTACCTGGGGTGTGTGGTATATCCTTCAGGCAAGGATATGATAGGAATTTCAGCTTAGGCAGGAACAGGCTCACGAGGCAGAGAAAGAGAAACATTTTTCATTGATAAGGAAGTCTCCATGGCTTTTATCATGGAAACCTTCCCAATTCTTTTGTTGTTGTTGTTGTTGCTGCTGCTATTGAGACGGAGTTTCGCTCTTGTTGCCCAGGCTGGAGTGCCATGGTGCGATCTCGACTCAGCACAACCTCCACCTCCCGAGTTCAAGTGATTTTCCTGCCTCAGCCTCCCGAGTCGCTGGGATTACAGGCATGCGCCACAATGTCCGGCTAATTTTGTATTTTTAGTAGAGATGGGATTTCTCCATGTTGGTCAGGCTGTCCCCTTTCTGAGGCCCTCTTGACATGGAAACCAGAGACCCACGTGATCTGCCTGCAGTTGACTGTGGCCAGAGGACACGCATGAGGAAGACTACAAAAGAACTCATT